GCAGTGCTGGAGTGAGAGAGGTCAGTAGGAGTGAGTGGGAGTTGCCAGTTAACCTATTATATGAAAAGCTGAGTAAGTACTTGAGCTTATCCTGGCCATTTATCCCACGCAGAGCTGAAGCTGCTGTCTGTTCCTAATTTACAGCTGATTGTTGATTAACCTACAAAGCCAAAAGGGTAACAGTAATTTTTTCTTTCAGTTTAGAATGAACTGCATCTTTTGCTTCAGTCTCTGATAGGTAAGAAATGAAGCTTTTGAACTAGGTGAGACAAAGGCAAAACATTTTGTTGTATTTCAGAAAGAAAAAAAAATGTACTCCCCATCATTTTACTGTAGGTATTTTTAAGTAAGATAATTATTGCCTACAGTTAGAGTTTTCTGAGGGATAAAAGAAATCTGAGAAACAGTATCCCTTTCAGAGTTTACTAATGTTAAATTGAGATGCATGTTGTATCAGAAAATAGTTAAATTTTTTAAGGGAAACATTTTGAGAAAATGATTTAGGAACAAAAAGTGAAACTGCTTTTGGGTATTTGTTACTCCTAAGTGTCTATACCCTGGAATTCCCTTTTTTCACAGGGAAATTTTTTGTTTGACATTTTTGTCAAAAGACTTATGAAAGTAGAAAAAAAATAATTTGACTAGTAAAGGCCTGCTACGAAATAAAAATGGAACAAATTTTTTTGTACTTTTAAGCCAGCACTTGTATACTTTATTTAACAGTTAGACATTCTTTGAATAAGCAGTTCTCTTTTTCAAAACAGGAATACAAGTGCAAAATCACATCAGCATCTTTGTTTTTCCATATTGTTTTGTCATCTCATGATGTACAGATTTGTAGATAATACTGGGGAGAGCATCAAGGCCATAAAGCAAGTGAACATTCCAAAGCTGTGATATATTGGAAGTATTTCAAGTGTTTTAGTCTGAAGAGGGAAAGAACTCAACCACAGGAATTAACTCCTGGGTGAAAAAATTGATTTCACAAAAGACTGGGTAGTTCCCTTGCTTGCATACAGTACCCTTTCTGGTGTTGAGTTATTCCCAGTGCTGAACTCAGCCTTATGACTGCAATAAACTGTCTTCCAAAAAAAAGACTCCTAGGGCCTTGCAAAGTGTTAGAAACCTTTAAGTATTACTCATGAAAGTGTCATCTCTTTAGCAGTCTGCAGGAAGTGAGGGATTTTTTTTTTGGCCTCCATTTCTAGACTCATTGAGCTTCAGTTTAAAAAACAAAGCAAACCTGAAAATACACACACAAAAAAGAGAAACCTATCAAACCCCCACCACTCCACTGTAAAACTGAGAGGGGCTTCAGGTGCTGTGATATGCTTCCATTTCAAGTCTGTCTGTTATGTTTGGTATATCCTCACTAGCTTCCTGAAGTGGAACTGAGGCTTCCAGGGCTCTATGGGAGTTCATCTAACTAAAAGGCTTGAAGGATAAGAAAAAGTAAAGGTTAGGAATGAAAACTAACAAACAATGTGGATAAATGTCTTGCATGTATTTTTATTCCTCTCCACGAGAGAATTTTTTCTTCTCGGTCTCAGCTGAAAAAAAAAGCTCAGTTGGATTTAAGTCCAAAGACAGGGTAATATAATTACCCAGCTGATGTGGCTCTGAATTTTAGCTGCACTTAAAGATGTTAAAAATGCAGTGGGGTTAAAGCCCCCTAGAATTGTTTATAGTATTCTTGCCTTTAGGAACGTGGTAGCTGAACTTGTCCCTATTTGGTCAAAGGACTGTGTGTTCCCTGGGGAGCCTTGAACATGCACTGTTCAGTGGAAGGAATTAATACTAGAGAGAGATACAAGAAATTTGTAATCACAACCTTGCTCTGAGAAGGTAAGCAACAAAACAGCTTATATGTGTGCTCTGTCAGATATATCAGTTTGGGGTCTGGAGGCAGCACTGTCTGAAATTGAGAATTTAGTAAAGCTCTGGTGTTGCTTTTGTGGAGGAGAGTCAAGCCTTACAAAAGCATGAGAGATCCTTTGAAGGCATCTGCATGTGTATGACTGTTATGTATCTTGTGAGCACAGTAAAATAGTTTCTCCTGAATTGGGAAACAGCAGGTGGAGTTCTGTCATTTTTTGATTGTCTCTACAGAAACAGTGACTTGGTAAACAGACTTGGTAAAAATACTTACAGAGAATAAAAGGGAAAGGGAAAAATTGAACAGTATTTTTCCTCTTTAAGCAGTGTGGACTTTTGACTTCTATACTATATGAAGAAAAGTTACTTCATACTTTGTTCTGGTATGCATATGTCATCATGTAGTTGAGGAGAAGGATCAGTGAAATAGAAGTGAAATGTGGTTTACAGATAACTTTGAACCATATTTTTTTTTTACCAGTCAACAAGATAATAAAACAACTTTTGGAGAAAGAAAATTGGATTGTAGATGTGAACTAGTTGTTAAAACTCAGGAAGATGGAGAGTTCTCTGTGTCTGGACTATGTCAAATGGATTTTAAATAGTAGTCTGTCCCTCTTCTTTCTCTTTTTGAAGTAAAAAATTGTTATTCTTTGGATAAAGGATTTTCCTTAATCCTCAGGAGGCATTACTAGATGATGTTCAGGTGTTAGAAATATCTGTCATGTAATACATGCTGTTTCCTAATTTTAAAAGTGATACTTTAGGGTGGACTGAAGGTGACAGCATGTACTTACTTAGCAAGGGCAACTTCATCTTCTTTTAATCTTTATGACGTACAGCAGTGAGCTAGAAAGACTTGCAACCCAAACATTTTTCTATATTTTTGTGTTCATGGCCTATATGTGTCAATTTGTAATGTTTCTGTAGTTCATTCCCTAGAAAAAAAAATTGGTAAGTAAAGGATGGGAATGCAAAGTACTTTTTTCCCTGTGTTAGCATAGGTATTTGTGTATTTATGTAATTGAATAATAATACAGAACTTTTATAACCTTACTTTTCTATTTACTTTTCACGAGTAGGTATTGTATATTGACTCTATTTTGTTTCCATGAGATTTAAATGTCAGAGTATTTATGGCTAAACAAATGAGGTTATGATCTGAGCATCGAAGCAGCTGTTTGTACCACCTACTTTAATGTGGTGCCTCTGGGCCAAATTATTGCTTTCAAGGTGTCTCTCCACAAAATTCTGCTCTGACAAGGATATTCTCCCTTTGAAGAGCTGTAGAAGTTTGTGTGGCAGAAGGGTGTGTTCTGGGTGTAAATGAATCTTTCTTCTTTTTTTTTTAGCTGGTCAAATAGTCATTAACTTTATGGAAGGGTTTGTTCCCTCTACTCTCTGGAAGGAGAAGAAATAGGTGGTTATAATTTCTTTTTGCTCTTCTGGCTGCTGCTGGCAGTTGTGACAGATGGTGTTGGAGACACACACATTGAAATGTGTTGTGTACAGCATCTCTTTGCAGCATCCTTGAGCTAAGGCACTCAAAATCTATTAGATATTCCTATATCATACTGCAGGTACTGTGTTCAGGTTCTGTGTTTTTACACTAATGAGCCACAAAGGTATATGAGAGCTCTTGTTCTGCACAGCAGTGTTGAGATCTAGTAAGTTTGCCACCAAATTTGTAGAAGTAGTGCACCCTCGTGCTTCCAAACTGGACATGTATACAAAGACAGCAGGCATAATTTCCTTCACTAGAATTAAGAGATCAGGGACTGTAAACCATGGCTCTTAGAGTGCAGCCACCAAAAATTTGATTAATCAAGAATTCCTAGCTTTTTGTTCTTGGTTGACCATTCAGCCTCTTAAATGCTTTTTCTTTATGGTTTTTATTTGTTCTGTAGTTAGTGAAATATTTGTCTTCTCTGTGTGATGCCTCCATTTCATTCTGCCAGTTAGGAAGGACATTCTGCCATCTACCCTGTAGGCCTCACTCTGAAAGAGGCACTTGTTCCCAAATGCTCATTTGCTATGACAGATTATGTTTTTCCTTTCAGAAAGGAAATGTTCAACAGGACTGATTCCATGTGGTTAATATGTTTTGTCATATTACCTCCTGATGCAATTATTGAAGATACTTAAGGATTCTGCCAAGCTTCACCTTGTGCTTGGAGTTCTATACTTGTAGCATAGCCTGGATTTGATGACCTTTGATTTGATAGCAAACTTGAGCTCATTTCTTTAAAAAGGGGGCTTTCTTGATAAACTGAGTTTTTTCAGGAGAGCAAAATCCAGACTTTTTTTCAGGTAGTTTTCTTGCTCAGAGTTGTCTTAGCTTCTAAGACAAGATGTTAATAAAATTTGCAAGGTATACCAGTGTGAAACCAGCAAGTTACCTGTCAGTATTCTTCCCTGGTCCTTCTGCTGGGCATCTTTGGCTGTCATGTGAAAATAGATCCATCATGAGTGGTCTGAAAATAAGGTCACTGAAGTTCAGATTTTGCTCCAGTGCAAATTCTCCTCACTGTGTCTTTTCTTTTGTTGCTGAAGATCTTGTAACCTTAAGACTAAGAAATGTACCTCACACTTCTTAGCTTCATGTGAGCATACTGGAAAAGACAAAAATCAACCCCCAGACTTTTAGGGTTGATTACTTAAGGCACATATGTTAAGATGAAAATTCATCCTGAGGAATTCCATTTAGTGATAAATAGCTCTTGCTCTGGTAAATAATTTGAAATTTGGGGCTTTATTTTAGAACATTTTTATTGTGAGGGTGCACGTCTCAGAATCAAATGCAAACTGCTGCTAGAGGATTGTTATACAAAACATGTTTCCGGTTAGACACAAAAATAAAAATTATTGCACCATTAAAGTTGTCAAATTGGAAATTACTTGGAATTGCTCATTTGGGGTAAAAAAAGATCATTTATTTTCTTATGGTGAAGTCAGAATTCAAAGTCTTGTGATTATACACACAATGTACAATTCTGCACAAAAATGCAGCATTTTTGTAAAATATATTAAATGTTTGAAAGTAGGTATGGTGAAAGATGGTTGTAAGAGATTTCAAACCTTGATGTATATTACATCCTATTTAACAGTATTTTATGTTTATTTAGGTTCCTCTAAAGAAGGAGGAGCTGGAGCTGTGGATGAAGATGATTTTATTAAGGCATTTACAGATGTTCCTACTGTACAGGTAAGATGCTGTGTATATTCATGTTTGTCTTCAGAAATATGTTATTTGCAATAATGGGTAAACCTGCTTTTTAAATTTACATAATTTTATATTGTTCTAAGCAAGCATCCTTACTTTTCCCTCTGTCTGACCTTAGAGTCTCCATGGAAAGCTCTTTATATTTTCCCAGGAGTTACCAAAAAAAGTTCCACCTTTTTTTAACTCTCCTACTAATTATTACCACATTGTGTTTTGGCTAAAATGCCTTATTACTTTTCTCAAACTTTTTCAGGGAACTAGTGAAAGTAATTGGATGTTTTAGTAAGAAAAAGATTACCATGATGTTTGGAAAGTTTGGGGCTAAAATTTCAAGGCATAATCAAGTAATAATAATATAGGCAAATAATTTAAACAGCAAGAATTGTATTTTCAAATTTGCCTGAATTGTAATGATGTGTGTCTGGTATACATGTCCTTATTCTAGTAATACTTAAAAAAAATTATTCTAGTGCCTTATTTTCATACTAATGAACTTGTTGGATTCTGAGTTCTTAATTAAGAAGATCAGATTTGAATTTCTATTCTTTTAGTGTGGGAATTGCATGTATTTGATACTTTCACATAGTTGAGTCATTTAATATGTGTGTAGTGTACGAGGGCTATTTTGACTAAGTTTTCCTTGAGGAGCTGAGGTGTGGAACACAACCAAAATCTCAGTAAGCCATAGTTGCCAAATGACAGAAGGATTTTGTAAGACTCCCCTTTCCTGATATGTACTTTTGTTCTATTTTTATTTCCCAAGCATAGTTATTTGTTAGATCTGCTTCTGCAGGCAGCAATACTGTCTGCTTTCATGAGGGAGCCCTCAATCTCCATGATCCCTGTCACATCAAGGAAGTCTTTGTCTAACACTGTAAGAGCTTTATGTATCTCTGCCTCTTCCGACTGTGTTAAGAATTCTTCGGAGGATAAAAACATGCAGCTCTTAATATTGTTTATCCCTGTTAAGTTGAACAGAGCCATGTTCCACAAAACAGAGAATGTGATGCTTGTAGTTCAGTGCCTTAGTGTGTGCAGTCCCAAGGACAGAGTCCCACACAGAGTTCTCTGATTACTCAGGCTGGTTGGTAACACTGCAGGAACAAAACTGGGGTGACCACAGGACATAGACCAACACATGTTATTTTCTGTCTGACTGCTCAATGGCCTAGGAAGGCAGGTCATTCTCTAAACTACAGGAGATAGAAGAGAAAGACATTTGTCTTTACTAATCTCCCTCAAGCTGAGGTGAGGAGGCAGGAGAGAAATGTGTGACTGACTCCAAAATTACCTATTTGTTGCATGGATGAGCACACAAGAAAAAAACATTTTTTTTTTAGTGTCCTTAGGAATAATGACTTCTTGCCAACTTCCTGCTTCTGGTTGTGGACAGTCTCTGATCTTTCAGAAAAAAAAACCAAAGCAGATTTCATGTTTTGCAGCCATGTTAATTGTTAAGGAAGTGGGAAATTTCTGTTAGACTTGTGAAGAAAGAATGTTTATGACCTACAAATATTGGTAGTTTACCAATAATTATTCTAAAAGCATAGGACAGCATGAGGAGAGAGAGTTGTTTGGATGTTACTGGGCCCATTCCTGTGTCTCTTCTGTTTTCATTACATTTATGGGTTTGAGTAGTGGCTTCAATGAAAGTAAGAAAGGAAAACCAGATTCAATTCTGGATCAAGATTAAGTGCATTTGAATTAGTCAAATAAATTGAGATTACTTAATCTGTAGATATGTTTTAAATCATCCTTAAAAGTCTCCAATGGTAGATCTGTCTTTCCAGTAAGCTGTTCATATGACTGCTCATCTTTTTTTAGGAATGTCATGTTGTTTACCTGTACCCAATTTTTAAATCCCCATATTGAAAATACTTTCCATCTGTACAGTTATTATTCCTGCTTGTGTTTGAGCTTTTAATTTTTCTGTCTTTGATGTTACAGTTGCCTTTAATGAGGTGTGTTTATGTTGCCCTCTAATGGATAGCAGCAGTTTACGAACAAGATGGGTGATTTTAGATATAGTCTCATGGATCTGTGTGCTAAAAAGTACTGTAGTGACATCATTGTGCACTCATATTCAAGGTTACAACCACCCTGTTTTTACAACTTAAGCCTTTGCTGAAACAGACGAAAATCCTGTGTTCAGATTATTAGGAAAAACTCCCATTAATAGCTAAAATTTGTTTGAAAGAAGCTCAGTTCTTTTATAAAGTCTGATGTGGGAACTTGTGAGCAAAAAATGCATTATGTCATTGGCTGAACACATAGTTTCATCTTAAAAGTGTAATTAATTGAGGCCTCCTAAAAATGTAATTAATTGAGGGCAGGGAGAAAAGAAATTATTAGAATATTACTTTTTATTCCTGTGAAATTAAAGTAGGCATGTATAACGTTGAAAATACAGGATTTTTCAGTGGAATTATGGTTTTAATTTCATGACAAAATAAAATTATACCACTTATTAAATTCTACACTGCAATGCCAATTTGAATATTCCTAAGTTCAGTTCTGTTTGTGCCAGGTAATTAAAGAAAAAATTCAATTCCTTGCCTGGAAATGCTAATGGGATGGACATTAACCCATTGCACAGTTGCTTCTGTGTTTGCCTGGTGCCCAGCAGGTTTTAGTCTTTCAGCAATAACTATACTGTACAACATGGTCTCTTATGACACAGAGGCTGACAGCAAAAAAGTTATATTTTCTGGATTTGCTTAATGAAACAGCTTGCAAAAGCTTTTTGTACCTTGACCAGGACCTCAGACTGGGGTTTGAGTGTGCATTGAACAGTCCTCAGATGCCACCAAAAGGCATCATCCTGCTTCCATTCTTGTTGCACCTTGCTTTGTGATAAATTCACAGAGAAATGCTGAGTTGGCAAAGAAAATCTTGCCTCTCCTCTTGTAGGATGAGCTTTCTGTGTATTAAAGGTCTGAACTGAGCAGGAGACAGGTCAAAGAGAGAGTTATGGTAAAGGGAGATTCTGAGGAGGTTGAATCATGTCATGAATTCTGGTGGTGTGAAGTGTCACTGTAATATGAAACTTCATCTTGAGTTAACCAGTGACCAGACCTTTACACTTTCAAATAAAAATAAAAAATTTCTTTCAGAATGGAAATAAATTTTGATTAAAAAGCTTACTGAGACACACAATACTTTTTTTTTTAAGAATATGGTACTTAGAGAATTAGTGTTAGAATAAACTAGGGTTGTTTAACAACTATTAATAGGCTACCAGTATACACAAATATCTGAAATGGTGATACAGAAATCATGTTTTGTGGGCGGTGGAGTAGAAAGTATCTTACACTTGGACCCAATTTTTTTCATTAAGTCATTTGTTCATTTTAAGTAAGTTATACATCAGATATTTAGTGACTTCCAGTGAAGTCAACAGTAATCATGAGGAATAGCTTTCTGGTTTTTACGGATGCAGTCATGTCTCCTCTATAGAAGTGCAAAGCTGCTTCCACAGTGTATCCTGGAAGAGCTCACACAGCTGCATGGTAATAAAAATCTCACTTTTGTTGGTAAAGTATATTCAGAAATTGTTTTCCACCTTACAGTAAAGCTGGTCTGGGTGTACTGAGTAATCTGTTTCTGAAAAGGTTCCTACCCTGTTTATTCTGGAAATCTAGTATGAAGGTGTTTCAGAACTGTGATGTCTTTCACCTCCTCCATATTTCAGCATGAAATATGCATACCTTCATAACCATATTCTGTTAAAGTGTTGGGAAAAGAGTGGATGTCAATAGAGTTAAAGTTCCATATCTTTTGAAAGTTAAAATAATTTGCTGTGCTCTGGAAACAGGAAAACTAGACTGCAGTAATTTGAAGATGCCTGGGAAATTAAGATATTTTAAAGAAAATATCATTCAGCATAACTGCAGAACAGAAGAAAGACTTTCATTGTTTTAATGATGATCAAAGATGCATATATACGTACTAGAACAGTGTGTTCCAGAGACAGAGCTCTTAACCAATCTCTGCAAAACAAGGTGTCCTAACCACTGGCCCTCATTTCCTCTGTGTGCTCTTGCACATACAAAAAATATGTCTTAAATAATGAGAGAGCTTCAGGCCCTGCTGTTTAGGTGCTACAGAAGTTATCATGCTGGTGTCCAGCTTTCACTGTAGAAAAGTGTGAGTTTCCTTGAAGTCCTGACCCACATCTGCGAGCCCCATGGCTTGGAGGTGTCTCAGGTGGTGTCAGGTATGGGCTTGTGTATGGGCCAGTGAGTTTTGCCTAATGTGTTTACATTAAAAAAACTCCTGATCTGAAAAACTGGAAATGTTAACCTGAAGATACTTAAAAAAAAACCAAACAAACAAAAAAAAAAACCAAAAAAAATGAAACCCTGGCCAGATTAGCTTTCTGTTTAGTAATTAGCTTCATATTCTCTTACACTTGTTCTCAATCTGAAGGGAGAAAGAACATTAAATTTTGAGAATGCAGTGGAAACAGAAAAAAGCTTCCTTTGAGTTATGTCTAGAAAAATAGAAGAGGGGAAATCAGTTAATTGAAAAATAATATTTTTTCACAAGTAGGTTTTTTATTCCTTTCTTCTTTAAAAATCTGTTCTTATACATGTAGAGTTCAATAAAGACATTAATGCATTTATAACCAAATAGTGACTGTTGCATGATTAGATTGTTCAGGCTTCAATATTGGTGGTCTTACTGTATAGTGAGAATTTTGACTAGAGGTCCTTATATTTATTTACTGACTGTATAAGTTAATAAATGTTAGTCTTAAAGTAGCAATACATAGAGAAGCTGTAGAAGCCTTTTAATTTAATTTTTCAGACAAATTTTCATTTTAGTGTTCTCACAGCCCAGTTAGTTCCTTAGAGAGTCCCAGCTCCAAAAGAGTTGCAATGAATTGAAATGTTGGTTGAGTTTCATTATCAGAGTATGAAAATGAAACTGAGTTTTAGTAGTATTGCAGCAGATTGTCTAAAACCTCTGCTCCTATTGCATTATTTATTTTTTTAAGTGGAGTTAATGGAATTGTGGCTATGATTATCTTATCATAAAGGTGAAGGGTAAAATCTTTGTGATGAGCTAAAAGGAAAGGAAAATGCTGAAAGGAAAATGTTGCTTCTTCAGCCTTTTTTTTTAAAGATATCACTAAGTAATGAATATTCATTACTTAGTGATATCCTTACAGATTGGTCTTAAAATGCCCATTTATAACTCTTACACAGATCTCTGGAACTTTGGGGGTAAGATTTGTGGAATTAGAGTTGTATTTTCACTCTTCTCAAGCTATTTTTCTTCATCACATTACCTGGGATATTAACAATATGAACTTCCTGTTTGTTTTTTTTTTTATTATTTATTTTTCATACTTCAGATTTATTCTAGTCGAGAACTTGAAGAAACGTTGAACAAAATCAGGGAAATTCTCTCAGATGACAAACATGATTGGGATCAGCGAACTAATGCGGTAAACTTTTTACCTCATTTTAGGCTTGGGTGGGTGCATTTCATAAAGCACAGACAGCCAGATATTCTAATTTTTTTTTTTCCTAAAGTCATTGCATTCCATGTAATGAAAGAAATTCTCATTTTAATTTTTACACTTTGAATTTCTCTATACCAACTAAGTTTGAGTATTTTTTTAAGTCTAAAATGCATTTTTGCTGACATTTCAGTGGAAACTTTTCTAAAAGCCATCAAAGATGTTTAAGTTTGGCATTTATATAAAGTTGCATATTCTACAGCTTAACTGCTAGCATTAACATCTCTTGTGTGCAGCTATGAGAAGTTCCACTTACAGGGTTAAAATTTTTGTGTCTGTGTACCATTTATATTTTTTAATCAGGTTTATGGCATCTTAATGCTTATAAACAGGTATGTGAATGGAATTATGTGTTTGTGTATTTGTATTCTGGATTCTGAGATTATTTTTTTCTTACCTCTAGAGCTTAATGTAAATTTTTCAAAGTTCTTTTTACTTACCGCCATATATTTTGAAGACTTTGCTTTAAAGACATGCTAACATGTATTTTTGCATAGTGAAGCTGTTCCTTTTTCTTTTGTTTTGAAATGCATATTGGCAGTGTCCTAACCCCACTGTGTTGATTTTTTAGCTGAAGAAGGTTCGTTCCTTGCTCGTTGCTGGAGCTGCACAGTACGATGGGTTTTTCCAGCATTTGCGGCTGTTGGATGGTGCTTTCAAGCTGTCAGCCAAGGATCTCAGATCCCAGGTGGTCAGAGAAGCCTGCATTACTGTAGCGTAAGTACAGCTCCTGTGCCTTTGGGCACCTTGCTAGATGCTGCTGTGGGCTTGGCTTAGAGGTGCTTTACCAGTGTCCCAGGAGAGGTTCTCTTGTTGGGCTGATGTGCTCTGTGACTGATAGAGTCAGGTCAGGATCTGAAACCACAGAGGATAAGAAATGCTTAAAGGAATTTGTTCTCTGAGGGGATACACATAGCTGATAATCCTATAATGAATTGTATGTGAATAACCAGTTACCACCATTGCCAAGCTATCATTAGTGCAGGTTAATGCAAACTGCTGTGAATGATATTGGGGTCTTATCTTAGGATCACTTATGCTTGGGTGATTGGCACAGCGCTTCACTGGCACTGCTTGTAAAGGCAATGTGGATAATGCTGTAGTGGTTTGAACACAGAGCATTTTGCTGAGGTAATACCTCTCAGGAAATCATGGAATTGGTTTGGGTTTGAAGGGGCCTTAAAGATCATCTAGTTCCAACCCCGTTGGCAGTGCAGGGACACCTTGCACAGGACCAGGTTGCTCAAAGCCCCATCCAGCCTAGCCTTGAACGCTTCCAGGGTTGTCTCTCTGGGCAAGAGACAGATAACAGTGATAATTTTAGAAGCTGTGGCTAAACTGAAATAAAGTCTTCACCATTAGCATCTCGTGAACTCCTTTAAATTCAAGGGCAGAGAGGAAAACCAGAACAGTCTTTCCCATTTTCATGTTTTCCATGACTTTTTTATCCTCTGGAAAGACATTAGTGTAACCACTGATTTTCAGTGGCCATCTGAAACAGGACCACCATGGAGTTAACCCTTGCTATTCTGGTTTCCTGTTTGAACAGACTGAGGAGAAATGCTGAAGCATACAACTGCCCTTTCCAAGGAAATTGAGACTTTGAGAAAATTGTAATAACCTTTCCTAACATGAAGTCAGGAGCAGTTTAAAAGTACTCTGCAAATATTCTCATGCAGGCCTAACAACCTGGAATTCTCCTTGATCCCTAAAACTTTGATATATTTGATGTGTCATTTGCTGCTGGCTACAAATCCTTTTTTATGTAGTCTTTCTGCATGAAAGAAGCATTTGTTGTCACCAATGGACAGTTAAATTACTGTGTGTGACATGTGTTTTAATATTTGTTAAAACTGAAAACCTAACCTTTAATAGACAAGGGAGTCAAATTTTATGGCTGGCTGATTGTGGTGAGTTCAGTAGTTTTGCCTGCATTCAAAAGGAAAAAAAAATCTCAATAATTTATTTAAAATTTTAGATTTATACATCTCAAAGTCTGTTAAAAAAAAGAAATACAGTGATACTTTATTTGGACATGAAAATTTAGGCTTTCCAGTTGTAGTACTTGTTTTTTCATTATGAAGCAAAGTTATTCATGTTTTCTAAGACTAAGAAATTAATTTATGTTTCCTCTAAACAGCCACCTTTCAACTGTTCTGGGAAACAAGTTTGACCATGGCGCTGAAGCAATTGTGCCTACTCTTTTTAACCTGGTTCCCAACAGCGCCAAAGTGATGGCAACCTCTGGGTGTGCAGCCATCAGGTTCATCATTCGGGTAGGTGTTCCAGTCTCACTTCTCCTGCTAGGAATTTTCAGGTTGTGGCTGTTGGCAGAGATAACAGCTACACTGAAATATAGGTTTTTAAATCATTCTTTAACAGAGGAGTAATGTTTCTCATGGGTGGACAAATACTACATATTGTTGAAACCAATTGGCAGCATTGTTGTAGTAAAGATGGAAGAATAGGTGCCAACAGCTACTGTTTTTGTGTTTCTGGAATTTTTTTGTAATGTGTTAATTGAAAAAAGACCAAGTGTGTTTCAAAGGGTAACTGCTTTTCACTGCCTTCTTGGACAAAGTTAAGCTAGTAGCTAAGAAACTAGTAAGAATTTAAATAGTGCAAACAACAAAACAAAGCTATTTCTTTCTACATATACACTTACCTCCAAAAAAAATTTGGAATCATGGAGTTAATGATAAAATGTTGAAGAGGCTACACATACCTGGATCAGTTCAGAAAGCACAAGTTCATGAAAGAAAAGTCCAGTAGAGAATTGAATTTTTAAATTCAAGAACTTTCTAAGCTGAGTCCCCAAAGCTATAGCCTATGGAACAGAGGAGTGCTCTGTCCTAGCTGTTTTCTACTGAATGTTCTTTGAGCATCTACTGACTGGTGTCTCAGGCAAGATATTTAGAGTTTGGGACTTGTACTGCTACTTTTGTGTTTCACATAAAGTGGGAGATTGCCTGTAGTTTCTGCATTAGAAGTTGTGGCGTTCTTAATGCCAGGCACTTACTGCAATTTACGGTGATCTCATCGGTGGTTTTAATTTTGTACATTGTAGGAAAACCTAAGAGGTTTCACAACTTACACCTTTTGTGGCCATCTTCAGTATGGTTCAGAATGTATATTTCTTTGTCTCTCTTTGCCTCTGAGAATGTGCTCTGAGACCTCTGCATGCATGACCTTTGCATCAGCACTTGGGCTAAGACCAATAAATACCAAATACCAAAATCCCTTGGTATTTTTTTCCCCGGACTCTTACACTCCACTGTGAGTTGGCACAGACTTGAGAGGGAAGGAATACACCTTACACAGGATAATTAAAGTTGCAAGAAAACAATACTATTTGCAGTAGTGTAAGACAAGCTCAGGCATGTAAGAAATTATAAACATTCACCAATTACATTAAATTGGCTTTATTGGTTTAGTTCATTTGAAGACAAGCTTACACAGCTATAGTTGCCCTGATTTTGTTTAAATTTCTGTTCTTCTAAGCTGTGACTTAACATAGTGGATTTGAAGCATAAAAACAAGAAAATCTTATCCACAGTGTTCAAATACTCAACCAAATAATATGTGAGGTTTTTTAGCAGAAAATTCAGATTTCAGAATTAAATATCAAAAAGAAGTGCAGCCCCCATGCCTGTTTGGGCTTCTGTCCTTTGGACGAAATGAGTATTGCTCAGGGGGTCTTTGATCAATTGAATATTTAGAACCCTAGCTACTGCGGTTTTTGGAGTCAGTGTTTTACTCAAAAATTCCCACCAGCATCCAGTGACAGCCAGTTCAGATCCTGGTGCTTTCCTTTGTAATTGCTGTAGAGTGAGTCTGCATAGAAACAGGGAGGCTGTATAATACCAGTGATCTTGAGGAGGTTCATCTCTTCTTTGTGCCTTCATTGGATTTCATGTTTCTTCTCCAGGAAGTTCTTAGAGTGTAGTCCGATTTCTCTTTCTTGACTCTTAGTACATCAGGAAGGCAATTAAAATAAAGGTGGGGGGCCAGGGAGGGAATCATGGAGAGATGGCATGGTGGCAGAAATCTTTCTCAGAAGGAGGTGGGATTCAGGTTTGTCAACTGATCTTCAAGGTGGTTTGCAAGGAAGCACATATCATTACATCCTCAAAGGAGCAGAAGATGAAGTATCACATGTTACAAACAGAATTAAAGCAAGCCTGAGGCTTTGATTCCTTTGCAAAATACTTTCTAGAAATTACAACATCAATAGCTCCAAACAACTTGAATTTACAGGTTTCTCCATCTGTAAAAAACTATTTTTACCCCTGATTTGTTCCTTTTCCCTTTCTGGAAGTCATATGCTTCTTTTCAATCTATACAAAACACAAACAAACCCCCTAAAACTGTTTTTAAAGTATATCAGGACAAACAAACATAACTGTTAGGCTCTTCCAGAATTTTTGATTAATTCCTTCCTAATCCTAAAATTGGCAGTGCTCTGTGAACTGATGATTATCTCTGATTTTTTTGTGATTTGTGTGTTTATATCCTGCAGCTGTGATACATGAGAGAGTTTAAATTCTTCAATACTGTACTTCTGAAGATCTTGGATTTTTTTAAATTAGCCTACTCTTTCACACTGTATTGGGGACTGTTTACTGTAGGTATTTAATCAAGAAAGGACTAAAGAAATTAACTGAAAATAGATTTGTTGAACCACATTACTCTTACTTGAAATTAAAATGGTAATGCTTTGTGTCTACAATTAGTTAAGAAAAGCTGAAGTAAGGCAGCTTTAATTCTGAATTCTGTAATGCATTTGGGTTGAATGTAGTTTATCTTATGCATAGTTTAATAGTTTTCTTCTCCCATCAGGTGTTTCCATATAGATTATCTATATAGGCTTGCTTATATGTCAGTGCTTTTATTACTTTATTGACATATTTTGCATTAAAGGATATTTGATCCTTGTGGTACTAATCATACTGATCCTTGTAAGAATGCTTATATTTTCATATTCATTGATTCACTTTTTGCTCTATAACCCTGACTTTTAAGACAGCTATGTCTATTACTTCTTTTTTTTCCTATGGCAAAACTAAAATAGCATCAGCTTTCAACTCCTCTGAGGAGACAGCTACTTTTGAACTTCTTATATTACTTTTGACAGCAAAGTATTGCATATCATGATGTTATTGTTGATGGCACTGGAAGTGGTTTCTGCTTGACCTTTTGGAAGAAAATAGCTTTCTTTCAATCGACATGCTAACAGCAGTCTTTCATGTAATAGTATTCTATGATTTAGTTTTGGTAAGCAGTTTAAATGATTGCAGTTTTTATTATGGTGTTAATTCTGTTTGAATTAATAAGTACAGTACACATTCAGGATTCAGGAAAATGCTTTTCTCATTAACTACTGTGTCCTTTTTTGGCAGCATACTCATGTGCCACGACTCATACCTTTAATAACAAGCAACTGTACCTCAAAATCAGTTGCAGTTAGAAGGTGAGTACATTATAAATGAAAATTACCAAAGCTGTTGCTTTTTAAAATATGATTATCATATGTTGAAAATTAACAAATTAGAAGATTTGTGGCCATAAATGCTGAACACACAAAACTGTTAGCCAGTGAACTGCTAACTGCAAAATTTAATTTCAGCCTTGAGACAGTGGCAGCTACCTTAGGACACAGAGCATCCATGTGTTGTGGTGTTCAGCAACTCAGCTACATCTCCAGCATGTTGCTTTCTCTGAGAACATGATGCTTGAACACATGGGTTGGCTCTTAAAAATGATTTTTTTTTTGACAGTGTTATTTTCTGCACCAAATCACACAAAAGCAGTTAATGCTGTTTCTGGACCGACAGTAGTCCTGAAAGCGATGTCACTGTGTGTATGCAGGAAACAACTTGAGCATCTGAATTACTTTCTTTGAGTCTAAGCAGCTTTTGCATCCAGAGCAAGTGTTACCTCAACCCAGATTGTACTGACCTGCCACAGCTTCTGGTTTGACCGCTTAACAGTTCACAGGGCTGCAGTGCCTCCACATGCTGTGCTTTTACTGAGGAACATTAGACTGTAGGTGGCTGTGGTACTGCAGTTCACAATCTAGTGAGCATCACTGAAGTCGTTGTCTCCATTGGAAAGACAGCAAACCACTAGATTGGTTGTAATAGTGAAAAGCATTGCAGGGTTTCTTGACACGCCTTGCCAATGTCCAAAGGATTTGAGCGGAATAAAAACCAAATTTGTCCCTCCAGAACAGGTCAAAAATGCTGAATAAGCAGAAAAAAGAGAGTTTCAGGCTGTCAGGTTCACTACATGTTTGAAAATTATCTACACCTCCCTAATCTGTGTCAGTTTTATTTTTCATCAGGATCTAGCTTCAGACATAATTTTTAAAAGTATGCCTTTTGCTACTGGCAGTTTGCTAAATTGTCAAGATTCCCAAATTAATAATGAATACAGTTAGATATCTTCATTAGTACAGTGCCAGAAAATCTTTTGCAGTGCTTTCTATATGCAGAGCCCTCTGCTAATGGTCTCATGTTTTCCTTTATGCTACACTCAGTAGTGACAGATGGAAGGATGGGAATAGTGTTTGGGACAGAAGTATACCGCCACAGAAATCCTATATTGTGTCTTTAATATTTTTATGTTAGTGTTAATATTTTATAATTATTATCAAAATTTTTAAATTAAAATTACATATTATATAATATACAATATATAATTATATAGTAATATAATAGCTTATGTTTGTATTATAGATAAAGACATTATAATTATATTTATTATTAATATTTTAAATTAAATTTTTATATTCATAATGATTATTAATATTTTAATTGATTTTTGATGTTTTTAATTTTTATGTTAGGATTTTATACTCGGTACAAATTTTTCAACCTCATTAATTTATATCTGTTACTTTGGGACTAATACAGTTAGCATGGGGTATGTGTAATAACATGACTTGAACAGCACATTGTTAATTGAACCATGTCTGTTATTTTGAAGTTTAAAATTAGTTAGCCTGCATGTTTGCTTAATATAGAGAATATTTTAGCTTTCCAATAAGGTGACCAATGCCCTTATTTGACAGATAAAGGTATTTTATTTTATTTATTTCCCCCAGGGCGGGAGAGTAAAGTTAGTGTTTATTCCACAAGCACATTAGAGAAATGAGTATTTAATTATGACTTTGGTTCTGTGTTTTTAGGCGCTCCTTTGAATTTTTAGACCTGTTATTACAAGAGTGGCAAACACATTCACTGGAAAGGTATGGGCTAGTATGCTTTTTCCCCTAAAATAAACTGCTAATGTAATTTAAGACAGAAATATTGTCGTTGAATCCTTTAATTGGATTATGTTGTTCAGTGTTGGCCAGCCTTTCTGGCATAGACAGCCTTTCTAGCACAGCAGGTCATGCAGCTAATTCAGGTGCCAGGGGGAAGGAGAGCTCTATGTTCCAGCCTTGGCTTCCTGTGGCCTCCTCTCCTTACCCTCTGCCTCTCCTGTCCTGCTTGTGAGCAATGCATATACAGGTAAGCAACTGTCTTTTCTCCTGGCAGGGGGAAGTCTGTGTTTGCTGTGAAAGAGGGCAAGTGGGCTTAGGCTGGAGGACTTCTTGTGCTAATGAGTGAGGGCACATTGTGGCTTCTCCAGATAGATAGGAAAACTGTACGTTCATCAGTTCTGCAGGTTGGTCACTGTAAACACAGGGTAGGAGCAAAGAGAATAAAAGGCATCCAGAACTGGCTCTGAAGAATTCATCCAGCTCCTTCCAGTCACATTGCTGCTTCCCCAGGGTGCTCCTGAGAAGGGGAGTAATAGGGAAATAATTTATGCCAAAGTGTCTAAAAAAACCCATAAAACCCACTACCTCTCCCCCAACCCCCAAATAACAATCCTCCCACCCAAAACTTACCTTGAATTAAAACTTGTTTATCTTCACAAGTTTGTGTTCTGATGGGTATTTTGCTGTTCATTGAACTTGTATTCAGGTTTAGAACTCATATGCCAAAAGCTTGCAGAGCTGAAAGAAAACTTACAGTCTTAATTTTTCCCCTTTTCCTACTATTGATATAACAGTGGAAATAGGTTTTCCATTTCAGGATGGCAGATGTCTTATAAAAGGTATTTTTAAATAACTTTTTAAGTGTGATAGGTGGGTGAATGTCAGAAGTAGATTAAAATCCTTTTAGATTGAAGGAGTAAGCTGACCTAAACCTTTACAGAAGGTACAGTTATGTCATCAGTGTGCTTAAGTGTTTGTTTACTGCATATTTTGGAAAGAACTAGCATTGCAGCTGTTTTTTACTTGGTGAAATGTTAATTAAAGTGTGAAGCTACTGCTTAGAATTTGGAGTAGCAAAATAGCATGAAGAATGTCTTTCTTCTAGGCATGCAGCTGTCTTGGTTGAAACAATCAAGAAGGGTATTCATGATGCTGATGCAGAAGCACGAGTGGAGGCAAGAAAGTGAGTTTTGATTAATTTTGCTCTGAAAAATTGCATGTGCTAAATGAGTGATAGAAGGCTCTAATCCTAGGTGAGCTGCTATCCATGGCTGAAGAAGTTACAAACAACTTTGTTTGAAAATTGATGTTTTTCTGTCCTGAATTGCTACCCAGTTTCTTTTGCAAAAGACATTCTCAAAGCTAAGTCAGTCAATGAAGTTGTGCAGCATTTGATGATTCCACTGAAAGAAGAGTTAGAAAGGTTGATATTGCTGCATAATCATTCTGCTCCCATTAATTAAGTCTTTAAACAACTGCAGCACTTTGAGAAGGCCAGAAAACAATTCCTTTTGCTTCCCCACAACTGGTGAGTGAATGTGAGACATTCAGAGGATAGACTTAAGTTATTTTGAAAAGATTAATTCAGTCCATGCAGCTGACTTGATGAGCATTGCTGTGTGCTTTACATACTCTCAGTTCCTTTCACTCCCATCGTGGTTCATTCTGTAATCTTTACTTCCTGACTCCACCCTTTAAAGAAAACACCGAGCATTTACATGTGGTTATTCTTTTTTTGCAGGGCTTATCTGGGTCTTAGAAATCACTTTCCTAGTGAAGCTGAGACTCTGTACAATTCTCTGGAGCCACCCTATCAAAGAAGCCTTCAGACCTACTTGAAGAATTCTGGCAGTATAGCATCTCTCCCTCAGTCAGACAGGTCATCCTCCAGCTCACAGGAGAGCCTCAAGTAAGGGTTACTTCACTGTTTCTGAGCCAAGAAACAAAACTTTTGTTTTGAGAAACAAATGCAGCAAATTATCCAGATTCCTGTTGAGTACAGAAAAGCTGCAGTTTTATTTTGTGACTTCTAATTTTTTTAATAAAAATTTCTTTTCTGGTGTTTTGTCATGTGACAGTGTTACCCCAGCAAAGTGCAAAGTACAGACAGTCTTTAACTGGACATTAGGATGCTGTATTCATACATTCATTCCTTAACAGCTGCTTTAAACACCAAAATATCTTCAAGGTTTATATTGATGTCCGGCATTATGATGTGCTGAATAGGTCTAGGAAAGCTATAATGGTGTAATTCCTTTATCATCTCTTTTCACTGGCAAGCATGAAAAGAACATCAACAATGAGATTTGTTGGAGATTGGTTTGGGTTTTTTTTCCCTGTCTTCACAGTACTGAATATGTATTAGCAGTATTTCATAGCTCTGCCACTTACTACAGGGTGGGTCTGTGCTGCAGTCAGTGATGTATTAAAATGCATAGACAATCTTGAGCTGAATAAATTAAAGTTTTCTTAGGTACCAATAGTAAAAGAAATCTACTGGCTTTTTAGCAAAAATGTGAAGTAGTAGTAGAAGTAGTATGTGGTGATTTTTACCTTTAAATGCTGGAAAGCTTCTTCAAAGTATTTCAACCTTTAAATATTTCAAATCATCATTATCAAAACCAGAGAGCTTGTCTGCTCACTTGTTACTTGAAGGCAAAGACGGCTTCTCACATATTGGAATATTTTTTTTTTTTTCTGGCTAATGCCTTAAATACCAGAGGTTTACCTTATCTTTCCTATGATACTTGTAATTATAAAAAATTGTTTAAAAAATAATTGTCTGTGATGCAAGCAATTGCCAGCACTTCATTTTCCACAAATGTTTATTCAAAGATTAAATATTCTTGTTTAAATTAATCTGTGTTCCCCATCTGAAAATAAAAGTGCTGTTAATGAGTTACTGGTAATATATTGTTAAAAACTAAATTGCAGGGAAATTAGAATCTTAAAATACCCTTAAATCTTCAAATGTTGCTTCCCATGTTGCAAGATGTGTAAGTGTTACAGTACAGGAAGTGAGGGGTAAAATAAGAAATTAACAGAAGAGGTGATGATATTGGAATTTAATGACATTTTAATTGATTTATTACAAACTTTGCATTCAGATGGATGTTTGTTACCCAAAATTTTATTTCTGGCTTTTAGTGTAGTGAATGCCGAATTCCCCCTTTATAGGCTAAATTAGGAAATATGGGTATGATTTCCTAGAATTCAGATCCTCTGTGATTTTTGACCTTCTGAACTTACATTGCATACAGGTCATTAATCCAGAATTGTTTTAGAGAAGATGGAGGAATGAGAGAGAAATGTAGTGACTTCTGCCTACCTGTATGAAACTGTTTACATAAAATGTCAATTGCAATAGATTGTGGCAGTTGCCTGGGACTTCTCTTTGGAGCAAGTTGTAAGGTCAGGAGCTCTACTTCAGCCTCCTTACCTTACTTGAGGCAAAGTACCTTCAAAACACTAGTTAGTCATGTCAGAAAAGCAGGTTTATTCAGAGCAAGCTGCAAACACATATTCTTCTGTGAGGATTTAGGTTATGGTGCTGACCTTTATATTACTGCTGAGCACCTGAGTTAATAACTGGGATAAATCCACAGAATGAGGCATCTCTTTGGTTTAAAATTAATCTCTTCTAGGTTTAAAATTAAAGGAATTATTTTTACTAAAGCTGAGACACTGACTCAGCTTGAAATTTGACTGCTGATGAAATACTCAACTATTTCATCAAATACAAACTTTCCCCATCAGATATTTAATCAATGAATATTATCCAATGAATATGCTATTATGTTTTCTTCTACGAGTCCTTTTCATTTCCCTGGTCTCTCCAGCTGCATTTTACCCTTCCAAACAGGCCAAAGGATGGGCTCACAATTAAACTTGGCTAGACTGGAAGATTGTGCTTCAGTGACTACTTGTTTTTGCAGTGGGAGCAAAATGAAGACAAAACATAGAGGAAAATACATGGGATTTTTCTCCTTTTATAAGTTATGGGAGCCTCTACATTCCAACAGGGGAAATGGAGTCTAGCTGCTTGGAAGCATCAGCATTTCCTTTTTTAATTTGTAACTTGATTCTTGAGACATCTGGGACTGGAGAAGGCTTATAAGTTGGACACCAGTTTTTCTTGTTACTGCAGACACCACTTCACATGTCTTTCACAAATAAAGCTTTTTGGGTAGCTCCCACTGTTCTTATTTGATGGCTGATGTGTAATATTAGCCCTGTGGTTAAAACCTTGTATTGACCACCTTAAATGTTTCTCTGACCTAGTCTGGAATGCCTGAACTTTGTTAGCAAAGTGTACCTGTCAGTAGCTGGAGGATTAGTGCTTTGTGATAAGGATGTAGTTTTATAAAATATAAGGGAAAAGATAATTCTGATTTTCTTATCATTTTCTGTTTCAAGTATTTATCTAAAAAATACGCTGAGAAAGTTGAAGGGGAGAACAGAACAAATATTTTTGTTTTTCTCTCTCTTATTTTTTACTCTTGCATCTGATACATGAGACTTACTGGATTTATTGACTTTTTTTAGCCGGCCTCTGTCATCTAAATGGTCTGCAGCCAGCCCAGCAAGTCTTGCAGGCAGAGGTAAGGTGGTGGTAATTTTGTGCACTGCATAGTTCTTCATGTTCTTTGAATTAAAAGTTCTATAATGCAGCTTAAAAATTGACTATCAGCATTTACCCTGTTTCCAAGATAAATATGGTATGGTGTCACTACAAACTGTACCTGGAGCTCAGATTGCCTCACACTAACTTCACATTTTATGTAGTTTCAGTTGTTTCAATTATAAGACATAACTTACTATGAATTTTGAATTCATTGATCCTCTGTCCTGGAGTTTTGTCATGGAACAGTCATTCTCAAAGAAACAAAATACTGTTCTTTGGTCTGTTCATGGTTAGGCTTATGGCAATTAGAAATTAAAGACTCACTGTCTCTTTCATCTGTTCCCATATTGCTCTTGCTCTTTCTAAATAAATAAATAAAGAACAGCAGCCAAATGGCATATTTGTAATTCAAAGAGTTTAATTATGTGTTTAGTTTTTGGAATTTAATAACTTCAGTGTCTTTTCCCATAATGTCTTAGTAACTCTTTAAGAGTAAATCATTGAGCAGCTTTTTGCAAATGGAATGTAATGAAGAATGGATACTGAAACTGATAAGGGGAGTCAAGTTTAGAAGACCTAAAACAGTGGTTAAATTAAGTGAATAGTTAAAATTCAATAAATAATAGGAAGTGAATATGAAAATACTAAAGATTATACTCTTTAAAACATTTCAGAATATGCATTCAGCTTACCTTAGCTGAAGTGTGGGAATATTTTTCTTCTTTCAGTGTCTCAAGGAAGGATGTGAATTGTTACATTTGTGAATCATTCCATAACATAATAAATCACACGAAGGTTGAGAATTATGTCATTTGTGCTAGGGTGGGAGCAGACAGTTTGCATTAAATAATGCTAAAATTTCATGCTGAATGAAGATAAATACTACCGACACACAAACTGTTTCTATATGCAATTCATGGCAAGACCAGGTCTAGTTTGCTTTTTAATCTCAGTAACTTTTGGTTTAATACTAGTTTAACCTTTTCTACAGAGTTTTTCATGCTTTCATAAAAGCACAGTGCGGTAGTAGATGATGTTACCCTCTTAATTGTCATTCATTTTATTCAATATCAACTCCTTGTTTGGTTTTTTTTTTCCCCCCCCTTTTCTGGTAGTTCCAGGCAGCAGCAAGGGCGTCCCAAGCCCGGGCACCCTGCAGAGGTCTCGCAGTGACATCGACGTGAACGCTGCGGCAGGCGCCAAGGCGCGCCATGCTGCTGGGCAGACAGCTGGAGCCGGGCGCCTCTCAGCAGCCGGGCTGCCCCCGGGCTCCTACGCCTCCCTAGGTAAGGGGAGCACCTCTGCTGTGCTGCTCTCAGAGGTCTTTGGGATTTTCTTGATCAAAAAGTTACAGTGCAATACTCCAGTGTTTGAAAAGCAGTCATCGTTGTTGTAGCACTGGAGTGTGGCAAAAGAGCAGGTGTTCTGATGTAAGTCACAAACTTTCCTACGTGCTTTATTGTGCTGGAAGAATGCCAATGCAAAGAGTGTCTCCATACTATGCTCTCTGAATGTCTTCATCTAGAATTAGGTGTTGGAAGGAGTGGTACCTTTACTTAACAGCACATGGTGATCGTGCCTTTTTTTGTTCATAAAAGTAACAAGGAAATGAGTGTGAGAGCCCTTGTTTTTCCATTTTTCTCAGGTCTTCAGGTATTCTAAGGAGTGCTAAAGAGATAGCTTCTTCATGAAATAGAGAAGTGTTTTACACAATAACTTACTACATTGAGTTCAGAATTTCTTCCTAAGGGCATTGATGGAACTATGTGTATGCTTTACCTAGCTGACAGTCTCCATTGGTATTTGCTATTAGACATAGGAAGTGCTACAAGTGGTAACAGTGCAGAAAAGTATTTGATAATTGTAATGGGGGTGGTGTAGATGCTAGAACATCCACTAAGTGGCAATGGTAAAGGACTATGAACATATTTTTGTTCTAAATTTTTTTAGCTTATTGGTGCTATAGGGATAACAGTAGGGAAAGAGAGGTTCAGTGTTCACAAAACTGTTTTTTTCTTAGCTTCTGTGCCCCCTAGACCACTAAGGAAAGACATGTTAGTATGGCCATAGGTGATCACAAGAGGCAAAGAAACTGTATAGTTCTGATTTGCATTGTGTTTGGGCAGGTGTTAACATACATGTAGGCTGTGGTTTGCAAAGGTTTTAGTTGTGCTTTTTAAGATCAGAACTTAAATAAAAAGCTACCTAAAATTAGTTGATTCTTTTTGTCATCAAGGTCCGCTTGAAGTGCTGTGAAACGGCATTGATTTTAGTGTTTATTTAAAGAGTGAGCAATCCTGAACTAAAAGGAATACTTGGTACTTGCAATAGCAGTTTTGGATGTGGGCTCCCTCTGGTGCCCAGAGAGGGGGCAGCAGAACCTCCTGGGTCGCAGGTGGACACCGACATGAGGCTGCTTGGTGGAGGGGATACACTGGTGGTTCCTCAGGGAAATGATGGATGCCCCATCCCTGACAGTGTTCAACACTAGGCTTGGAGCAACCACTCCAGTGCAAGGTATTCCTGTCCACAGTAAGGGGGTTGGAACTTGGTGGTCTTTAAGGTCCCTTCCAACTCAAACCGTTTTATAATTCTGGAACTATCATTTCCTCCTCACTTAGTGCCTAAAAGCCTGAAATATGCGTAACGATTATTTTCCAAGATCAGAGTATTGACTGTGGAGTGTTTTGATGTGCAATAAAACATATTTTGAACCTCAGACAAAGCTGGCATTCAAAGTAAAAGTGATGCAGAGCATGATGACAGAGGGAAAAGAAAAGTCAAATGGAAAACAAAGAGAGAGATCCTGCTCTGTTAATGTCTTCTTTGTGCTGCTCAAATGAAGGGACTATATTGTCTTAAGACTTAAACAGAAAATTATCTCTTGATTGGACTATTGGTTTGCTTTTACAACTTTTAAAGCAATATTTGATTCATGCCAGGAATTTTGTAAGCAAGGGTTGAGAAGGGCACAGAGGTTTCCAGTGAAGTAAACAGTGGTGGATTTAGCAGGAAAGTAAAAGAAATAGCTTATTCTCTTTGTAATTTAATGATTGGATGTGTGAGAATTGGGGGAGAGGAATAGTAAGCAATAAATCCAGGTCCTATTCGTTTGAAGGATTTGAGTTGCTGGAAAGCTCTACCTTGCTAGCAAATGCAATCACTTGTGGAGAACAGTGTGATGTCATTTGAAATGGCAAAATAACGTAATACTGGCAAAGTACAGTGAAAGTTAAATCCTAGTGCAGACAGTGAAAGGGCAGTGGTAGTCAAGGAGACCAAGGTTTGTTTGCAGTCACATAAAAGCTGTACTGCTTGACTGATCTTGGCTCAATCTCCTGACAGTTTTTTGACTGTGGTAAGGTAATTTGAAGGATACATACCATGTAGACAGTGTGACTGTTGTTTGTTGTGGATTAGCTTCAAAATATTGTTTACTCTTAGTTTTCATAAGGTAACCTTTAAATTAATGGAGTGCAAATCCAAGCAAGTGCCATGTTTCAGATAATGGGCTAATTTGTAAAGTTCTTTCTTCTGTCCATTTTAAGGGATTTATTTATAGTAGCCCAGATATGGAAAGTTAAATGACAGAACTATCAAGCCAATGCTGACCATGATCTGAAAAGGCCCAGGCAGTGTTACTTTATTTCTGTAATGCTTTCCACTTCCTTTAGGTGTTGCTGTCAATACCAAAATAAATGACATTGTGTCCTAGAGCTTGAATTTATTTTCAGCCTGGCTTGCAGAGAAACATCCACCTTTTGCTTACACAGCTACCAAACTTAAAGCCTCAGAAGGCCAGAAGTTTATAAGCCTAGTAATCCATAGTTGTGTTCACCCATCTCTTCCTTTTTCATTATTAATACAAGAACTCTTGCTTATTTATGATTTATTAAAAGACTATGCTGGAAGCAGGAGGATACTCTCTAGTTATTTTAAATGTTGACTATCTTTCACATCCTTAAGTATTAATGTCCTTGTTGAGGAGGCCTGAGCTGTAATTATACATGTCTTGTGCTAAATATTTTAATTTTGATTGTTACTGTCAGAATATTTATGCCCTACCTTCCAGCTGAACTGGTAAATATTTAATACTTTTAAAACAGAGTGAAACTTTCTCTCATTTGTCCTCTGTCTTAATTGTGCAGTTTTTTCCCATCCTGTCCCTTACCCCAGGTGGGGCTTCATGCTCAGAAGCAAATTTCATAAGAAATATAAATATGTGGTTCTGTAATGATATAAATATGTACCGATGCTTCAGTAACTGTTTACACCAAGAATGAAACAATTTATAAATGTTTTAGTGTAAGGGTTTTCTCAAATTTGGGAAATACAGAATCAATATCACTGTGCAGGGTACTTGTACTCTATTTTGTAATTTTGTACCTTACACTGGGCAAAACCAACTTTGCTTAAGGTAGCTTATACATGCATTAATTAGATAAACATGTCTGCTGTATTTAATATTAATGTATTTTCCTCAATTAATGTTTTATGACTCTGCTGTGAACACCTTTATTCTAACACACTAAGTTTTCCATGTTTCTTTGCCTGCTTTTTCAACAAAGAGGATACTTCTGACAAGATGGATGGTAAGAAATTATTTAGTCTGTCCTCTAATTCTATTAAATATCTAATAAAGTGTCTTTTATGTAAAAGTATTGATGTTTAATATAATTGTCTGTTCATTAACAAATTACTATGCTGTTTCCATTAACTCCTGTGTAATCTTGATGTCTTATGTGTTATTGCTGTCAATTTCGTGAATGTTTGATCTGTGACATTACCCCTCTTTTTTAAAAGAAGCTCTGTTAATTACAGAGCAGTTTTTTAATGGTTACATGCTGATCTTAACTAGTTAAATACATGCTTTTGAAATTAATCTAATTCCAGCTGATTCCATAGTTTTACATGTGAAGTCAATTTTTTTGACTTAGCAGAACCAGCAGTGGGAAAGCAGAACATGCTTGTCCACTTAAGTATGAAATAAAGCAAAAACCAAAAAAGTCTCCTCTGTCAAAATCTAGGCTTCCTACATAGTTTTAAGTGCCTGTAAATTCTGTAGTAAAATGTAATTCTATTAAAGAATCATTTGTGAAGAAGACCTACTTGTTAAAATAGCTTATCAAGTATCCCACCTAAGTTTTAGCACTTGCTTTTTCTTAATTCACTCTGTTACAAACACGTAGACGGACTGCAAAACAGTTGAGCATCAAGCTTCTCATAGCAATTGTCTGTTTCAGGTGTGTGCAAATAATGCTTCTCATATAATAAAGTGACAGCCCCAGCCTGCTGCTTGGTGATTGTAGTTCTAATTTGTTGCTTGGGAGGACTTAACAAGCCCTTAATAAGTTTGCTGCTTGCTTAATATTTTGTGTGATGTATTTATTAACTGTGCATGTTTGGAAGAATTAGTAGCTTATTGGAAGCAATTGTATCTCACAGAAATTAAAAGAGTATGAAAGTAGATCTCTAAACCAGAATCCTGAATAATTTCAAAACAGATGCTTCTTGAAAGAATTGGAGCTGGTTTTGAGCACTGAAGATATCAAGACTAGTTTAATAAAATGAGGAGCATTTTTACAGGAAAGTGGAATCTCTATTGCTTATTTCCACATTACATTTACTTAGGCTACATATAGTAGGCTTTATTTATAGCTGTTTGTTTATAGCTGTTATTTATAGCAAATCATTAGCTTTGGACATTGTCACCAGACATAAATCTTCTTTGGGCCATGTAGGCTTTTTCTTTTGTTCTGTCCAGAAGTCACAACTAATGATATGTTGCACATTTTTGTTTAAAACAGCAAGGGAAGCGCTTTACAACTGATCAGAGTTAATAGGTTGGGGTTTTGTTCTAGAAGCTATCTCTAGATATGATCTGCAAGATGGAATGAAAACAGCTCAGCTGTCCAGTTGTAGTTGTATGATACAGCTGTTGTGATCTAACCATCACCAGGAGGAACTAATAATTTTTCCTGTGCCCACTAACCTTGTCCACGTATTTTTTATCTCTTCTTTTCCTAGCACCTTGTGATATTCCATTATTGATGACTGTAGGTGAACAAACTCCATGAAACTGATTTCATAAAAGTGACTAATACTCTGTTATTTAGCTTTTGGAGCTGCCAGTGAACCTTTAGCCATGCAGACCAGGTGGTAGCACAAGACTGAGAGGAACGAGAAACAGAACCACCCCTTTTAAGAGCTTTTAGGAATCTCTTAGGCAGTCTTAGTTGTTGCATAGGATCTGCCTTCCAGGATCCATCTCTCCAAGACTGTTGGATTTGGAGAGGTAGCTCAGGGTTTGAGGGGTTTGGTTTTTTGTTTGGTTTTGAGTTTTTGCAAACTGGCAAATTTTATCTTGGTACTTAGAGGCACTCCTACCTACATATTACTGTAACTGATTTTTGTGAAGAAGAAGCATTGAAATATACACTGAACTAGTTTTTTAGAGGGAGTTTTTAAAAATAGCTCTGTGAAGATATTGTAACATGAGGAAAGTTTCCCAGCAAATCTGACTGAGTTCAGGCTAGCCAAAGACACACAATGATTTCATCATTGTCGTTCTCTTGAAAGGCAAAAATGATAGAGAGTGAAAATAAAAATGGAAGTATCCTTTGATTTTTTTTTTTAGGACCATGTCCCATTTTTATCATTACTAGTATGCATTTTATTGTGTAATAAGATCTGTTTCAGAGGAACTTGGAGGAAGGACTGCTGATGAAGCAGGGTCCCATCAGTTCCTGGTACTGATGGGAGAAAGGCTTGTCTGACTCTCACATTATCAAAAATCAAGCCTTGTTAAGCTCAGCATACTTGTCCAAGTGTGATCTGATTTCAGCAAGCTCATATTCCTTCCATGTCTCTGAGCAAGACTTGATCTTGTGCATGTGTATCTTCAGAGTAATCACAGGCTTAATTCAGAGGAATCCTTCTTGCTGGCAGTTCCTGTCAAATTATCACTGTCCAGTGTGGGAAACACTGTCTCTGTGTTTTTCTCTGAGGTTATGTATAACAGTATGTTTCATATTTTCAGAAGAGCTTGCTTTACAGTATTTTTAATGTCTGTTTTGATCTGTATATGTAATTTTTTGACTGATCTCATAGATGTAATTTTCTTCTATTGAACTTTTTGTGTTTTGAAAGGCAGTGATGTGCATTTTGCTCTTGTAAATTGCTCTCAGTGTAGTATGGATATTTTCTTGATTATTTTACTTCAGTTCAGTTATGGAATTGCAACATAAAAGCTTTAGCTCTCTTGACTTGATAAAATTTGTCAAGATTCCCAAGATTAATCTCAAAAAGAAAATTCAAAGACATAGTATTGTTTGGAATATCATGTATTTTATTATTTTTTCTGTTTAGGAACAGCTTCTGAAGATGGTAAGAAACTATTTTGTTAGACTAGCTAATATTTTCAGCTTCGTATTTTCATTGATACAAATGGAGCTTTAAAAGTAGAACTTGGTGTTTCTCGGGCATTGTGGAGGTTCATAACAGATATGGGCTTATGGGCTAACAGCTTATGCATCTAATACTTGGTTATTATATACTATTTTTAAAATTCTTTTGCTTTTATTTTAATTCTCAATTACTCATCTGCAGTCTTAAGTACCATTGCTTAACATTTCTACTGTGAAAATACAGGGGCTTTATAATTTTGCGTTCATTTTTTAAAGCAAATCTTGTCACAGAATATTTCATCAAGTATGTTCATGCTCTGGGAAGCAGGTGCTACTATTACTCATCTCTGTGAGACTTGGAAGCTAATTTTCTATCTGTTATTAGCATTTAAACCTGCCATTAGTGAATGGATGTAGAGACTCCAAATGAGTTAACAGTTCATTTAACTCACAGACACAAACTGGTTTATTTTACATTGATAAAACTGAAACAGGTTCCAGGTGATACTTTAACATAGTATTGAAATAGTGGCACTCTGTATTCCTAGGTTTTGGGCCAAATTCTGAATGCAGTTACATGTCTTGCAGTCTCCCAGCTCTCAATTGCCATTGCACGGGGATAACTAGTAGAGTTTGGACTAGTTAATCTAACTGTTCTTGCTAAGCCTATTGTTTTAGTGAATAACCTCCTTTATCCTGATTCTCTTCTTATAGACTCTCATCTGTGACTATTCCCTCTACTTGGATGAATAATATTAACTTGGTTGATGTCCAAATTTTGCTGTGGAAAGCCTAAAGAGGCTAGAATTAAATAACAGTCTATGTACTTAATTCTTTTAGATCAAATATTGACTCAGCATGTCTACGAAATATTTTAATCATGCTGTGTTTAAAAGTGTTGAGCTTGTTGAGCTAGATCTACCCTGTACAGACTTTTTGGCGTTTGTTCTTGCAGCTTAGAAGAATTATGGTTAGCATGAGTTTGGTTTTGATTTCATTTTGCTGCTGTTTGAGAGGTTGGCTTGGGAAATGTAGTATACAACACCACTATTTTCTTTTATGAATGATCTTTCAGATAGCTATAATTCAGACAACTGGTATCTTCCTTTCTTCTATAATTTCTTTGTATATGCTGGATGTTACAAGGAACATGGCTAGCAATGCAGTAGGGTTTGACCAAGCCCAAGAGAATTTGCCATTTGGCATTCTAGGGAAAAGTGAATCTTGTTTTATTTGTAGATACTTAGTTTAATTTGTCTCTTGCTTGGCCTTTCTGTCTAGTGGGGAAAGTAGTATTTCTTGATATCATGTTGTCATGAGAAGTACTTGAATGTATTTAGTGTCTGCAAAATGCTCTAGAAGGTTTGGGAAATCCTGTAGAAGTCTGTATGACTGGGGCCAGGAAAACGGTAGAATCTTCAGTAATAAAAAAGCTACTACTTAGATTTCTAAAAAGAGGAGTGAAGTTAGGAAGAAAGCTCATAATCTGCAGTTTTATGACAGCAAAAGTAGAATTAGAAGCTCAAGTAATCATGAGAAGACTGTACCTGATACAGCAACGTTTGCATTGCATTGTATTGAGTAAACGTCCCCTTTTTTAATGTGCTCAACACATATATGTTGGAAGGAAGAACCAGCTAGCCAGTCCAGGGTGTTGAAGGTGTAATGTGCAAATTGTTTGATGAAACATGTAGCATTAGAGGAGAAATATCTTGCTTCCTCAGCTATTAAATTCATCAAGGTGTTCAAATTTCTACTAATTATCCCAAGCAAATTGTCACCAGTTGAGTTACATTGCGCTTCTTTTATATGCAGAAACTTTAAAAATATTAGTAAATACTACTGATGCTCTGCTTTGTGCATGACTGTGAAAAACTGATTTAATGCCCTTTTTCTTTTGTAGGTCGTATACGATCAAAGCTCTCCACTCCTTCTGTTGGTATTGGAAATTCTAAAACAGATTCCAGAGGACGGAGTAGAACCAAAGTGGTGTCACAATCTCAGCGTATGTATTTTCTGTTTATCAGTTATACTTGATAAAGAGGCCAAATTCTTAAGCATATATTCATTGACCAATGGCTACAGTCAAAGTTAATTTAAAAAAAAAAAGCTACATACTGAGTTGTTGTTCTGTGCCTTAGGTTCATCATCGCCAGACCAAAATGAAGGTATTTTTTTCAGTGTTTTGGGTCAGTGGTATTTGCATGCTTTTCTGATTCATGTTGTTTTTCTCTGGACAAAATACTATGTTAGGTCTTAGTTTGCCAATTAAATTAGATAGTGTAGCAGGAAGTGAAATCTATCCTTAAATTCTGTCTTCAATTATAACTTCTCAACATTCTTTTCCCCCCTTTTCTGACTTCCCCAACATGAAAGGCCATAAACATGGACTAGTAATAGAGAAGAATGGGTAGGCTGAATGGTGTCCTCATTGTTACCTGAGAGACCTAATTTTCCATTTTTAAAATAGTCTTATTTTAGCTAGAAATCCCCATTTTCTTTAGGCTAAGCACTGCTGTAGCTCTTGGGTACAAACTCCTTTTTTTGTATTACAGCTCTTGCCTTTATTTAACTCTTTGAAGGAAAAATACTAACCCCTCACGTTACAATCAGTTACTGAGCTTGTCTTGAGTCAAAGGGTTAAAACAAGCAATTTAATATGTGTCAGCTAATTCACAGTAATTTTCTGTGTGTGTTTAGTAACCACTGCAGATGTAGCCAAGCACTTGGTCATTAATTAAAAAGACCTGATTACCTCACACTCTTGGCTCTGGCTGACCTACAGCAATTCGTCCACACATCTGATGTCTCCAACAGACATTTTCTGACTAAGCTCTGTAGCATTTTCAGATTCTTATCTTTGTCTGATTAAGTGAAATGCAACTAAATTAATGAAAAGAAGACAGATGCACAATAAAATTGAAATTAACTTCCCACTTGTATAAATTGTCAAATCAGTAAATTTTGCCAGGTTTAAAATTTTCAATACAGTTATTTTGCTATCATTAACCATACCCACTTTCTTTAATAAAACCCTTTAATAATTTGTGTAATGGCAGAAGCATTTGTCTTCATAGCAATGACTGCATCTGTTGTAAATAGAATGATTTTACAAGTTAAAAAAGCAGGTAGTAACTGTTTTTTTCCTGTTAGAGTACTTGCCATAATTTAATTTCCCAACAAGTACAGTTGGATCAAACCTGATCTAGTGTATGCAGGTTTTCTGAAATAACACTTTCAAACAATGTGATCAGATAAATGTAGCATACTAAAAATTCAGTGGAGTTACTACTAAAATTCTACTACTACTACTAAAATTCAGTAGAAGAAGTTCCCTTAAGGGCTTTGACAATACTCTAGTCCCAGAAATGTTGGTGAAATGAGAGCCTTCAAATGAGTCGTTGGGACAAAAGTTCTGCAAAACTTGTTTTACAGATTGCAACACTGTACCATAAACAAAGAATATGTGAATAATTTAAGAGGGAAGGAAGGTAAAGTTCCTTCTAATCCCTTTTTCCCTTCTATGAAAAGCTATAAGCAGTGTCTGTAACAAGTTTTTCATTAGTATTAGGGAAGTTTGGAATTAAGTTTTTTGAAAATACTTTTGCATTTTGAATAGATTTGGTAAATTTGTTAAAAAGATGTTTGATAAATGTCTGGGGAAGGGGATAAATTTAGGTAGCAATATAATACTTTAGTGATGATCACTGTCATATAACATTAAATAAATGTATATCCAGAGAAGCAGAATTAGGCCTTTCCAGTTTTTCTACTAATAATGACAGGGTTGGTTTTTTAAATTCATTTTTACACAGTATTAATGTCTAAAGAGATAAATTGAGATAACTAGATCTGACTATATGTGATGATGTGTGAAAATTAAATGCATGAATGCATCTTTACAGCCTTTTATTACTACTTCTGTTCAGAACTGATTGCTTCAAATAGCTCATTATAACCTGTCAGTGGGGGAGAACAAGAATTCTGAGATGTTTTAAGGAAGATAAACAGGGCAAATACAAATGGACAGGCAAAGGAGAATTCTCAGGCACTGTATGCCAGCTATTTGGGTGATGCTTCTTTATGTGACTGAAAATTTTCACAGCATTGTGTGAAGCGTGATGCTTAATGTTTCCATACAGGGGATTGTTTTAGTTCCCCAGCTTATATAATGAGAGAATAGCTGCATACTAGATTTAAGCTTTTTTTTTTTTTTTTTAAACCACTCTAGCACAGATGCTTTTGTTAATTTTTGGGTTGCAGCTATCTTTTGTTCAAAAATCATTTTATGAAAGACTTGCAAATTTGAATGCTTTTACAAAAAAACATTTTTTAGGGTTTTAAAAGCCCTTTATTCTTCTATTTTTAAATTAGCATAAAGTAAATGCCTCATTATTTTATTCTTCCCTATGGAAAAAAATGGTTACATTTTTTTCCTCTTCTTTCCAGTTTGGTTGTCGGGTAATTTAACAGGGTCTGCTAAAATTGCTTTACAGTTGACATTCAGAGAATTTCTGAATGGAAACAAATTCTTCCTTTTGTATTCAAGAATACTTTAAAAGAGGAAAACAAAGAATTCTATGCAAGTCTTTTCAGTTATACCATTGTGAATTTGGTTTTTTTGTTTTGGTCATCCACCGCACCTGCAGCTCAGTTCCTTTATTGTTGTGTCTCAAAAACAAAGTTTTGATCTCGTGTGTAATTTTTGTTCAGCTGTTGAACTTCTTGAGCCTTTTTGGCAATGTAATATTCTTTTCAAGTAATATCCAGGCTACAGTTTCATGCTTAATTGAAATTTAATTCTTCAGTGTTGAGTTGTTGATTAGAAAGCTGAAGAATTGTAATTTGCTTGTGCAGCTTTGCTTCATCTGCTTTGTACATAGCATCTGAGTTTAATTCTTCAATTGTGGAAGCTACTTAATAGCACTGCTTTAGCATAACCCCCTTGTGGCTTTTTTTCCTGTGTGAAATGACTAAAGCTTTCTTATTTCCATTTGCCATTCATTTTTTAATCTGCTCTGCTCCCTCCCTCTTCATGGATTATAAATCCCTACCCTAATCCTGCCTTTACACTTGTTCAGGATCACAGTCTGCTAACCCCATTGGTGGTAAGAGTCTACAGAATTTGTGTACACATCATTGTTTGATCACCTGTTTGACATACCTCATTTAAGGATCCTATTCAGCAGAAATTCTGGCTGGCTTTTTTCCATATGCTGCGCATAAATTAATTGGGTGCGATCCTTATGTAGAAAGGAGAGATGGGAAGGGTTTGTCATTTTGGGGTAGTGCCTTAGTAATCTTTCTTTCATCGTTCAGCTCACCTAGATCTGCTGGTAGTGGTAATAGTGACAAGAGTGTGCCAGTGCTGCTGTTTTCAGGCTCTGTAGCTGCATTCAGTTAGTTTACACTGCAGTGGTACACTTTGCAGGTCTGACTATAGAAAGATTAAATAAAGTATTAGAACAAGTGGTTGCATTTCTTCTGGATATTCTGAGAAGAGTAAGTTTTTTTAGATTTCTGACCTATTGAAGAAAATAAGTCTGCACCACAGTGAAACCTTCAACAGTATTTTTACTGTTTTAAAGAGTTACAAAACAGGAATATGGCATAGTAATATCAGGTCTAAGTTGAAATACCCTGATATGAAGAAACTGTCAAACCCTTAATTTTTGCACTTAACAGCAGTTTTATAGGCTTGTTTATTCTTCTGTTGCTATAGAAGTTGTGCTTGTTTTTTTCCAGGCTGCATAATACTTTATTTATCATTTCTGCTGAATAGGCCCATAGTCTGGAAAAAGGATTTTGCTAAATAATCATTTCAAGTTTGAATTCAAACAATGAATCTGAAAGTACATGCATGGTACATTTTTTAGATTTCTCTCTTCCACCCAGCATATGTTTTACTTTGTTTGGGATTTTGGTTTTGTTCCATATAGTCAAGCTTTAGTCAACTTGTATCTTTTTTTCCACATGTCTCATAAGAAGTAACCCATGAAATTCACTTGAAAAGTTGCATGTTGTCTGTAAATCTGATAGCATCACTGTGGTCATACAGTTACCTGATTGTATTTTAAAGATTAATGAAGGGTTCAAATTTGTATGTAATTAATCTTTGATTGAAATTCTGGTTTGCTTTTTATTTGGTCATATTTCTTGAATTGTACAGCTGGAAACAACATATTAATATCAGCTGGTGATATAAATTAGTTACAGCTAGGGAAAAATTAATTCTTTGCTAAAAACTTAGAACTTAAATGTTCTGTAACTGAAATATCAAAATTAAAGATAAGTGACCACCTTTTCTGGTAGTGATACTGTACCTGGAACATCTGTAGTACTTTGTACTATATGGTTTTAATTAACAGAAATTTAAGACACTTAAATATATCCTAGTCAATTTTTTAGCTTGTTTAGAACTAATTGAAGATTTTCTGTAATTTGTGGGGTAACCTCCACAGAAATGTGCATGAGTAATCTGTCTTCTGTCATATTTTATTTAATGTCAGAATAGTCCTTGAAGACACCATGCATTTAAAAGCAAGGGAGAAGATTTCAAATATTAGGAAAATCACATTAATTAACTCTAACTCTGGTTGCATTGGAAGAGCTGGGATAGTTATGAAATCCTAGTTCAAAATTTCTCCCTTTAGCTTTCTAACAGGTTTGTTTGTTTGCTTTTCTTTTTTAATAGAAAATGTGGTTAGTGAGAGCACATAGCTTAAAAAAAAAACCACATTCATTTTAGGGACCGTGGAACTCTTGACAAAGTCCAGAAATAATAATTGTGGTTTCTTGAGCTCATGTAGTGCTAAATACCATGTCAAGTGCTTCCTTGCATCGATAATTTTAACTTCCTTGTATGCAGTACTGTAAGAACTCGGACCAAGGCATTCTATTTCATGTTTTTACCTTGTAAGTTTTTCCTGATCATTTCAGTCTGCCACCACCTTCCTACTAACTTCAGGTATTATTTTCTTTTTAACCATGGTTGTTTGTCCACTGTGGTGTTGCTAATATTTATTCATTCTACCTTCAGCTGGCAGTAGATCTGGGTCTCCTGGAAGAGTTTTGACAACAACCACACTTTCCACTATGAACACAGGAGTTCAGAGAGTGTTGGTGAATCCTGCAGCTGCACAAAAACGGAGCAAAATCCCACGAAGTCAGGGATGCAGTAGAGAAGCTAGTCCTTCTAGGTTGTCAGTAGGTAAGAGTCACCAAATAACTCTTGGTTTCTTTATAGCCATTCTTACTTTAAGTGCTGGATATCTACAGCTGCTGTTTAATTATAGGTGGATGAAAAAAATAGAATACATCCCAGAATGTGGCTGTTTTATGAGACTAGTTTTCGAAACACAAGACAGTTTTAAACTCAAGCTAAAATTTGAGGTTTTTCTTGTCAGAATGTTGTAGTTGTTCTTTTCCTCACCTCCTTTCTTCCTTCTCTTTTTTTCCCTTCACACCCAAAGTGCCCATATCCTTTGAATGAAAGTGTAATACCATTTTGGAAATATGTTCTTCATTACTTCATGTCTTCCGTGTGTGTGTGTGCGTACATGTGTAAATGCTGTGATGCTAAAATGAAGGTTACATGTCTTCAGCCTCAGAATAATCCAATTACTCTTTATTGCAAACAATGTTATTGAAACACATCTGTTGATTTTAATGGTATTGATGCTTCTTCCTTTGTATCGTTGATTTTTATTTTAGCTGCATAATTTTATTTTCCTTCTTTATAAAGCTGTGGAGTTTTCCATTGGTGATACTGTTGATTAACTTCATCTTGAGCACAAATTCTGAATCATTACTCAATGTTGTTCATTTTTTCTCCATCCTTTCCAACGGGTCTTTCAACCATTCTGTGAAGAGTTAGTAAATTTCCATTTTAAGCTGTGCAAAAATATAATTTCATTGAGCTGACTACACTTAGACTAACCCAGCACAATCAAGAAAGTCTGTAAAAAAGGTTATGACTTAAAATGCGACATAATCATCAATGTCTTTTCTTAGAAACGCGTCTTTGATCTTACTGCGGAACAGAATTGCATTAAAACTGCAACTTTTCTTATGTCTTCTCCCTTTGTGCCGCTGTTTGCCTGCACCCTGAATCATACTAGCGCGAGGCAGCCGCATTCCTCGGCCTAGTGTGAGTCAGGGCTGCAGCAGGGAGGCCAGCCGTGAAAGTAGCAGGGACACGAGCCCTGTCCGCTCTTTCCCGCCCCTGGGTAAGTACTCGGAGCCTTGTCGTGCATGGCTGTCCCTGCCCCCCCTAACGAATCCGTGCCTCCTGCCTTTAGCTTCTAGCTGGCCACCGGCTTCTCCCTTCCTTTGGCTCTCCCCCACTTACCCCCATGGAGGACTGAGCAGTGTGTGAATGGACTGCACACAGGGAAAATACAGGCTTTGCTAGGCTCAGTTGGAAGTACCAAGTCTAGAAAGGTTTGTGATGCGCAGTGTCCAGATGCCATTTTGAAAAGGTGCTCCTGGTTTTGGATATTTTTTTGAAATTGCATGTTTCTCTTTTCATTGCTTGGGTACTTGAGTGCAGGGTCAGCTTTTGCTCAAAATTTTCTGCCTAGTCAATGAATTATTTTAGTGTGTAAGGAGAAAATACACTTAATTATGTCCCTTCAGCTATAGTCAGCAGCTTATTCATCTAACACAAATTGCAAGGTTTTGCAAGATTATCAGTCTGTTTCTGAGATGTTAATGAGGCATAAGGATATTAGTTCATTATTTCCTTAACATGTTGGTTAAGGATTAGGGAAGGTTTTCATCTCCTTCTCCATCTCCATGTATCTTTGGCAAGGTTAATACAAAGTTGATAGTAAATCTTGCTTAAAGTGCTGTTACATATTGGGTTTGTTGATTGCGTTTTTGTTTTGCTTGTTTGGTAATATTAAACTCTGTGCAATTGAATCTGAAACAGATCTCTTTTTGGTGTTACCTTTGTCTGAAATAATCTTCAGTATATATCCTTCTTATTTGCTTTGTTCAGTGTAGCTTACAGTTAAGGACTTCATAATAGTAGCTTTTAAATATAGTCTGAAAATAGTAAATCTCTGGTTTCTATCTCAAATTGAGGCACCCTACTGTATTCCTAATTAGCACTGGACATATGTTGTGGTCTGTTAGAGGGCTTCCTGCCAGCCATGGTTTTATTGGGAGAGTACAGATTAATTGAGTGAAAGCTGTTTCAGTAACTAATGCTAGTTTGCCCAGATGCTGTTTAATTGGGAAATGATACTAAAAGTAGATGTTTCACAGGGTCCATTAGGAAACCTGTATTTTTTTTCTAAAACACAGCTGGGAGATTGTGTTGAAGTACATACGTACCTTCTATTCTTTTAAAAACAAGGGTGTTTTCCAGAACTCTTGGTGCTTCTTTTGCAGCATTACAGCTTGATTTGAATTACATGCATGCAAGACCAGATTTACATTTTGTAATTGGTTGGATGCTTGCTATCTTAAGAAGTCTGTATTAGGCAATAGCATGAGATATTTGTCATAGATGCCACTGGAGGCTTTATTCTTATTTATGTAGTTCAGTTTTATAATTTAGATATCAAAACAAGTACTAGTGAAATAAGTGGAATTGTCTGGAAGCACAGAGAATACAAAGTAATATGTATAGGAATCCAGCCTTGGTTAAAAAAAAAAAAAAGGAAATTATACTGGGAATGGGAATAAATGAAGATTTCTTTTAGTATGGCTTTTTATTTGAATGATTTAAAATGTCATTAATTGTTTTGTTGGTACAAGTGAAAGATGAAATAAGGCAAATTCAGCTCTGTGTATCTAGAGGCAGTTTGCCATGGGGATGAATAGGGGAATCTAACTTGTATTGCCTCTCATTGTCAGCACAGAAATTTTTGCTTACGAACACAAGTGAAATAGAATGGATTTTATCCCCCTTTAGGGTATAAAATGACCTAAATGCTGCATAATTGCTTCACTGTATACATTGGTATGAAGTGTTTATGTAATCTCACATCTCAGTATAATGTTATAAACTGGGAGATAAGAGCCATTAAGAAGGAAGCAATTTGTAATTTATATAGAAGTGTCTACTTTTGTTAAATATAGTCAGTATTAAATATCAGACTAGTATAATGTCCATATTTTAGCTAAGAAATTGTTCATTTCATCTTAGTGTGAGTCCATTTGAAGTCTTACTTTGACTCATACTTTAAAAAAATGCAACAGCAAAAGTAAATACTTGACAATTTCTGCAGTTTGAGGGGTACAAAGAATATTCTTGAAAATAAGTTTTGGAATGAGGTACGTTTCACCCTATATATAGTGGCTTTTTTCACCATCTTAAAAACTTGTCCAGCATATTTCAAATGTATGTAGGGACAGGAGTCATTTCAAGTTTCTTGCCTGAAGTTTGAATTTTTAGTTTTCAGTTGAACCTGTAATTTTCAGCATTCATTGATGGAAAGTAAGGGGAAGGTTTATCCCATTAATGCTTGTAATTAAAGAGCTGTCTGCTGTGATGTCTGTTGTGACATCCTCAGTCCTGTCTCCTTTTCCATGCTGAGATGCACTTTCTGAAGAACCAAGCATTCCATAAAGCATTAATTCAAACTAAAATGCCCTAGCCAAACATCTTCATGTAGAATTAGTTAGAAATAAAGTACATCACTGTACCTTATCTAAGGAGTGGAGAACTTAATGTGGAAAGACACATTGTTGTTTCTGGGATCTTTACAGGGCTTAGGATCATTGTGGAAGTGCACTCAGGTTAAAAAGGTCCTCCCCAAAATGTTGTTTGATCCATGGTTCACCTGTACGTGATGCAAATCAGACTCTTGAATGGTCTTTGCTAATCAGAGAAAAGGATGATTAATTTGATTTGCCTGTTTGTGCTACTTTATATATCCAGAAGGAGTAAGATATGTGCTTTTACAGTTATTTATTAAATTGTAAGATTTTATCTAGGAGTTTTGCCTCTGTGGGTGGACAGTCGGGTTCAAGTTTAAGTTGTCATTTATGTGGCAATAAAATTCTAACTTAAGTGAGCTGAAGAAAGAAGTTGAATTGTATAAAAACACATTTAATTTAAAAATTGCTTTTTTTAAGAAAGAAAATACTAGCAATGGTGAGTCAGCTTCTTGTGAATCACTAAAAAAGCAGTTTTATACAAGTTCCATAAGGAGTGGGGTACTCAGTTTTATTCAGAAATCCTTAAGGATCTCCAGTTTCCAGTTGCCATAATTTTAAAGAATCTTAATGAGCTGTAGTTACTAACATGTGTTTCAGCTTCACATTTTATTCATTTAAATAAAATAGTAAGTACGTGAATTATTAATTGCATTGGTTGGCTTATGTTAAACTTTTAATTATAATTGGGTATTTTTAACTTCATTTTCATAGTGGTGAGTTTTTACTGAGGTTGAGTTGTCTGCAACATAGGCAAGAATTCAAGTGTGTACAAATTGTCACAGCAAACCAGCACAGCAGGTTCGTGCAGGAGGCACTTTTTGCAGATATTGTTTGATATGTGAGCTCTGGCTCTGACTGGAGCACACAGAATTTAGTTAAGTCCACAGTGCAAGACCAGTGTCAGTGGACTGATACCTTTTTAGCTGTTTCTGATGATTCTGTTTGTGTGTGAGTGTGTGCATGTGTGTCTGTGCACCTTTTCTTCTTTGAACTTAAACGTACTTGCTTTTACCCTGCTCTTAATCTTGTAAATTAAAAAAAAAAATTATGCATGAAATGTCCAGTGTACATAAACCTATATAATCATATTTGGTGTAATCAAAGAACTACTCTGAAGATTTTTGCTTCTGTTTAATATTCAGTTTCTTGTGCTTAAGCTGAATCTTTTTGATAAATACTCTCTTGTTCGCCTGAGCAGCTATTGCAGCACTTTGATTCCATGGTCATAGATAGGGTTTATTTAATCCTGTTATTGCAGCTTCCAGACATCACTCCAGATCCACTGGTGCCCTCTACGCTCCTGATGCTTATGGGGCCACAGGTGAAGGATGAGTACCCTTTGCTGTCATCTGTGCAGTCATCCTGGATTTTTTTTTTTCCCACCCACTTGGTTATTCTCATAGTTCAGTTTTAGAAAGCATTATTTATATTAATTTGAGTTTTGTGGTTTTAATAATCCAGATAGATGTGTTTATGTTGCTAGATGTTGTCTCCACCCTCATTGTCCAATGTTAATCCTTTTTTTCCTTAACAACATTTTTTTACTTGCAGAAAAACTTTTTTTAGTTTTTTATTTTTTTAGTATTTGTAGAGCATTCTTTATGCATGTAGTTTTCTAATCAACAGTCTCAATAGCCTTCCTATTGTATTTGCTTTCTTTCTAAATGAAAACAAAAACCCAAAATGAAGAAGACATTAATTTTTGAAAAAGCAAAACTTCTTTCAAATAAAACCATTGTTTTATAGGGATTTTTCCATGTGACATTGGAACAGAACGTTTGTAGGTGACTGGCTTTTTACTTGAATTCTTATTTTGTCTGTACCACTAAAGACTTCAGAATGGAAATGGTTATTTTATCCACTACATAACATACTAAAAATGCTAAGCAAATGCTTTTCTTCTACTTGGGTTTTTATAAGTGAATGTGATATTTACATCCCAGCTTTCTATTCTGATGGAATTCTTTGTATTTCTTTTTGTTGTTGTAACAGGTACTGGCTTTGGAATTAGTCAGTCGAGTAGATTATCGTCATCAGTCAGTGCTATGCGAGTCCTGAACACAGGTTCTGACGTGGAAGAGGCAGTAGCAGATGCTTTGGTAAGAATCACACACTTCCCTTGTGTAGGTTACAGGCTCAAGTGTTTGGTTCCTGTACATTAGCATGCAGAAGAACTTGTAAATTACTGTTTTATTGGCTTCTCGGGGGCGGGAAAAAAAAAAAGAGAAACTGAGTTGGTGGAGCTGCAAGTATTAGAATTTTTATTCCCTACAGGAAAAAAAAAAGCTTTAACTTTTGAGAAGCATGCTTTTTTCCATGGCAGATAGGAAACAGTCTTGGACTGTTGTGTTGGAGTGGCCTAAGGACCCACTTGAGCGGGCAGAACTAACCAGCAGTTTCTCACAACAACCAGAAAACCTTCAGGATTGGTTGAAGGTTTGTTAGAGCTAGCAATGATGACAGCCAAAGCCCTCTGCTTACCAGAAGCCTAGGTGCCATTTAAAGTTTTTCTCTCTGACAGCAGGTGAAATTGGATGCTGAAGAGAGAAAATGATGGCTGGGCAGCCAAGCCCCACACAGCCACTCTCTCTCTCCCCCACTACTGGTGCCACAGGGTAAAAGGAGGGTAAAAGCCAGAAATCAGGAGGGTAAAAGCCAGAAAACTTGTGGCTTGAGATAAAAACACTTTAATATGGAAAGCAAAACCCATGCACCCAGGCAGAGCCAAACAAGAAATTGTTTCAGCGCTTCCCATGAGCAGGCAGGTGTTCAGCCATCTCCAGCAGAGCAGGGCCCCATCACATGTAGCAATGACTTGGAAAGACAAACACCATCACTCCAAACATCCTCCTCTTCCTCTTTCTTCCCCCCACTTTATATACTGAGCATGATGTCACATGGTCTGGAATGTCCCTCTGGTCAGTTTGGGTCACCTGTCCTGGCTGTGTCTCCTCCCACTCTCCCATTCCCACCCCCAGCTTCCTGGCCAGCGTGGCAGTAGGAAAAGCAGAAAAGGTCTCGGCTCCATGTGAGCCCTGCTCAGCAATGAGGAAACCTCTCTATATTATCAAACATGTTCAGCACAAATCCAGAACACAGCCCCCCACCAGCCACTATCAGGAAAATTAGCTCAGCCAAAACCAGCACAGCAGGTAGCACCTCGTAAGTTTAGTTTTTGTTTTCCTTTGTTTTCAAAATGTTACACTAAGTTAAAACCAGTTATTCTCTTTCTTAAGCTGTATTGTTCTTTAAAAAGGTGGCTGTGGCTCCTCTGCCTTCCTGCCCCTGTAAGCCAAACTGAACACTATGATGTATTTTGCTGTTCTGATACTTACATCAGCAAGCTGAAATCCTCGGTTAAAGTCCTGATGCTATGAATCAGATACATTTTTATCAATTATTGTATGCTATTTGCATCTCATTAAATACTTGTAAGTATCTGTTTTCTAGTTACCAGAATGCTTTAAAGGAATGGTTATTTCTCTTGTTTAAGAAAAACTTATTTTTAAAGTTAGTAGAAAACTACAAATTAGACTCTAAATTACAGTCAGATATAACTCAATAGAGAGGAACAAAATTTCAAATTCTGAAGAACACTGTCATATTCTTAGTATGACTATTTATTGCTTTCTTAGTTAATACTTCTTTCTTGACATATTAGTTTAAAATTTGTGTACCTTCACTGGCGTACAGATCAGAATATCTGTGAAATCTTGCATAAGAAGTCATGGTGAAGTTGAGTGCATTTTCCCCTTTCTGTTATTACGAACTTGCTAAAAGTTTTCAGCATTAATGCTGGTTTGTAAACTGGAATTCAGTCTGGATTTTGGAATAGGGAACAATAGAAAAACAATCTATGGAACATGGAAATTTTCTGGCTATATCTGGAAAGCATGTGCTATTGTCCTTTCCACACAAGTGCATCACAAAGAGTATCTTCAGTACTTTTAGCAGCCTCCTAGTTTTCAAATTTGCTGGGCAAATTATCTAGTAAGAATAGAACTTGAGGAGAAAATCATGTTTCCAATGACTGCTCATGAGGCTTTAATATGTCCTGCTTTGTTGAAGCAATAAAGCTTCTTCAGAGAAATGATGCTGCTAGAAATCTTAGAAGAAAATGAGTTAGTATATTGTAACTAGAGTGTGACATTACAAAGAAGGATCAAGAGGAGCATAATTTTATTATTGTAGCACTTGCATGCCTGGTTCCTTGCCATGTTCTAAATGGTACAGGTTGTCCTGTACAAATGGCTCCATGTAAATGGAAGTCTGGTAATAAACACTCTTATTGTTTTACCATAGACTGAAGATTCACACTCATAGTGGTATTTTTAAAAGGTAGAATGTAGAGTCCTGTCATATGTAATATAAATTCAAAAATATTCCAGGTTGTGTTACTCTTTTTTGTTTTATGAAAAATACTTGGCCAGTTTTAGTGGTGGTGAAGCCAAAGAGGTGTCAGTCTTCTGCCTAAGATCTCTTTTGAATATTGCTATATAAAATGCAGCAATAATGGAAATCATTCCATATTTTTGTCTTTTACTTTAGTACCATCCTTGGCATTTCAGATTCATGTACTGAAAAGTTTTTTTTATTTTTGCCTTATGGTGTCTCTTTTCCAAAACACTTAACATCTCTGTGATTTTTCCCTTCAGTTATTCTCTTGCACATGTATGTATGCTCATTCTGTTGACAATAAGCCTGCTTCTTACCTGTTGTATTGATTAGTTTGTGATTAGTATTGTGATATCCTTTAAGTTATTCCATGGTTAAAAATGAGAGCCTTGTGCAAATGGCAGTGGTAATTAAGGGGAAAATGATCAGTTATACTACTGCTTCTTTGAGTATGTAATGAAACTGAGTTTTTAAATGCTGACTTCAGCTCCAGAGTTTGAATGGCAAGAGCTGTTTTGCAGAGGTGTGTGGGTTTTTTTTCATTTTAGGATAAGTAGCTTTTCTTTCCCCCTTCTGATCTTTGGTATGTTGTGTTTTGTTTTGTTGGCTTGTTTTTTTGTAGAACGTTGACTCTTATTATTGCAATGACAAAATTTAGATACTGAATAGTTCAAATCAAGGTTTGGTCCTTAACTTAAAGTTGATGATAAAGTAAAAATTGACTGCACGTGTTAAGTTAATGTGTTCATGCTCATAAGACCACCACATAAGACACAAAGATTTTGACAGAGAAGTCTTTGTGACCAACCTGCCCATGATATGTAATATTTTACTGGAAATGGAAACTTAGCAGACTACATCTTGACAATGTGCTAATCAGACACAGAGAGCTAAGAACAAAATTTACAGTAAGACTATATATTGTCCAGTGGCAGGAAGTTTATTACTCACAGTGCTGCTATGCCTTACCTTCCTGTTCTCAATTTCTGTTTCTTTTTGATAATTTACTGCTAACAGCTCTTAGGAGACATACGGACTAAGGTATAGAAACTATTTTTCTTCTTTAATAGTTTAATATTTTGATATTAACATGTTTGATACAAAATTAGCTAAAATGTCAAAATTTGTGTAGACCTCTGATTCTTAAATTCTGTAATGTATATAAAGCTATGAAGTGAAATAACTAACTTGCAACAGTCTTTTGTCACCCCATTATGGGTTTTTTATGCAATTTTATGGGTTCTTGAAAAAGAACTAAAGTTAAATATTTCCTCAAACGTATGTCTTCTCTGCATTTGCTTTGGGTTTATGTTTGGAATATTATGTAAGCCATACTTCAAAATATTTTCATTAACTTGGTTTGACCTGCTGAATGGTTGGAGCCATTTGTCACTGCAGGGAGTAGGGGTTACACCAGTTATTCAAACTGTTGGTCTTAGGACCCACTATGGGTATGTTGTATGATCCCTTTGAGAATCAGTGCTGATCTGGGCTGTCTCTGTACAATAGAAGAAGCCCGTGCGAAGAAGATACGAATCGTACGGGATGTACTCAGATGATGATGCCAACAGTGATGCATCAAGTGCCTGTTCAGAAAGGTCCTACAGCTCCAGGAACGGGAGCATCCCAACCTACATGAGGCAGACAGAAGATGTGGCTGAGGTCCTGAACCGCTGTGCCAGCACCAACTGGTCAGAGAGGAAAGAAGGCCTTCTAGGCCTGCAGAACTTACTAAAGAACCAGAGAACTCTAAGGTAGGACAGCATCTCAATAGAGAAACATCTTGTTTCAGTGTTGGTGGGAGGCAGGGGGGAGGGAAGGCAGGGTGTGTCTTTGAGAGTAAGATAGGAGAAGGAACAAGGAAGCTTTTCTCACTTCTGGCTACTAGTGTATGTTTATATACTAGTGGATGTGGGGAATTCCAAATTGAGAATTATTACCATACAGAGGTTTCATAAGATGCTTCCATCTACTATCTGTAGAAGGCCTTTTTTTATTATTACCATAATTTTGGGGATATTTATTCAGAAGAAATAGTTTACTACTCACTACTAAGAACACCTTTTTCAGTATCTGCCCTGTTACAAAAATATGGTATAATAAATGAGACAGTTTAAAAGAGACATTTGAAGAGGTTTGAAGTCTCATTTTAGATGAAATTTATTACATTTTTATCCATGTCTCAAATAAAACCTAATTTACTAGATTACTTGATTCAAGATTTACTAGTGATTTCACTGATTGCTATGCATTAGTGTTCTAGCAGAAAATAGCAGGGGAGTTGACTAATGTATTGTTGTCATTTTGACAGTCGTGTTGAGTTGAAAAGATTGTGTGAGATCTTCACAAGAATGTTTGCTGATCCTCACAGTAAGGTATGTGTAGGTTTTTCTTATTTTCAATAAATTTCTGAAAACATAAATTAAAAGAAAGGCAGTTATGGTAAATTATGTCAGTGATATTTGCATATGTAAAATTTCCCAAGCAAACGTAGTTAATGGTATCAGATTTCAATTAACTTAATTGGGAGTTTTGAACAAGATAATTTTCCACCCTTTTTCTGCAGGATCATGGAAATAAAGCAAAGGTCAATGTCATATAAAATGCATTGAAGTAGTTCAGGAGTTTGCACTGAAAATCTGTGTTTTTAAGAAGTTGTCGTTTACAGAGGCCACTTCAACACAAGTATAGATTTTCTCTCAATGAGAAGAAAAGGCTCAGCAGTAATTTAAGTTACTAATTAAGTTGTCTGACTAAATCATACATAATCAGATAAACTATGCCAAGTGTGTACTTATTTATTTTCTAGGACATTACGTGTTGTCATAGCTTATGACGTCTTCCGTGAATTTCATAGATAGGGCTGGGAGTTGAGACTGGTGAATAATTTTTACATAATTTTTTAAATATTCCATAAGGAGGCTATACTTATGTATAAAAGAAAATGTGATGGTTTATTCACTTTTACTTAGGTAATGACTCAATATGGATGATATAACAAGGAAAACAATGCTTCAGTTTCCTAAGACAATTAAAATCTTTTTAAGTGAGTTACTTTGCATGATAGTAATTTTACAGTTTTTGTGGGAAGTGGGTTACTAGTACAGCTTGATTAAACATCACAGTTTTTCACAGCAGAAGGAATGCAGGTAAGGAAGGAGCCTAATAAATGTAATAATGTAAAAAAATACCTAACTTTATATTTTATTTAATTATAGGCTTGTTTGGAAGAAGTGGTGTCTTTTATGTTGAGTATAACATGTCCCACTTTGTGTCAGTATTTCAGAATTGATAAAATTGTGAAGATGAATTCATAATAGGGTATTATTTCAGGAGTATTGACTTTTCCCAGAAGAATCCTGAAAAACTACTTTGATTATGCAATACATTTTATATGTTTTTAAAAATATGTAAAATTCTTTCTTATTGCTGCAATGGAAAATTAAATTCAGAGTGATAAGAGGTCTTGACAGGTTAACTTTAGTATTCATCTGCCCTCTTTATTTTTCCTGTTGGAAAAAGTGGCAGCTGCTATCTCTGGCACCGTGTATTTTGGAAATAACTTGCACTGCCGACAGCAATGTGGCATTAAAGTTGATCATATACTGCAGAATTCCAGAAGAAAAGACTAAACCAAGCAGTTAAAAAGAAAAAAACATTACATAAAAAGTCAAAGCAGAGGAAAGAATATTAAATATTGAAATATTGCTGGAATATTTTTTTAAATGAAGTAGTTACCAAATTGTTAATAGCAGCTTGGTTTAATTGTGCTTGTTCTGTGATAATTAGTATTGCAGTAATGTATATGTCAGAGCTTGGAAGAGCATTTTGCCTTTCAAATAAGCTGTTAAAAATGTTATGTTGACTTGTTCTAGTTGATTGTTCTGTTTACTGGCCACTGTGATACGAAAAAACGTAGTTTCAAGAAAATTTGGCCTGTGTTGTTACCTGTGGTACAGCTGTTCCAGCCCCTGAACGTGCCTGCTTTTTGGTGTTGCAAAACTATTAATATGCTATCAGACATAAGTATTAAGACTATCTTTAAGTATTAAGAGTTCATGAGCTGTGATTTTTTTTTTTTAATCACACACATACGCCTACATAAATCTCATCTTAGACTCTACTCAAGTGTCTGTAGCAATTATGCTGTCATCACTTTTGTGGGATTTTATAAGGTTTACTTTTAACATGATACCTGGATGGAGGGAATTGCATAGAATAAGAGAGTAATAATATTTGGAGGAGAAAATAGGAGAATGACTTAAAGGACATGCCAAGTGCTTATTTTAAAATTAAATTGGGTATCCCAATAAAATTACTTAAATTTGTCAGAAAAGTTTTGAAGTACCTTTTTTGTTTTATTTTGGTTTATATTCCATACAGGAACTTCGTATTGATGGCCACTAATTTGTGTGTTTTTATCTTTTTCCCTTTTTTGTTGTTTGTTTTGTTCTGTTCTGTTTTTGTTTCGTTTTGCATGCTGTCCCCTGTGTTGGAACTCTCTTTAGAGAGTAAGTTGGTTCAGTATTTGTTGGAAGCCTAACCTTACTTTGCATGAATGTGCAATTAACCCCTTTTCTCTATTTTTCTTCCCCAAAGAGTTCATGCAGTGTCAAGCCTTTTGCAATCATAAAATGCTATAAACAATTAGTAAAATGTGTGGTAAAGTTTCGAGATGTGCTTTATCTACTAATTAACTGACGTTGTTTGGTTATGCATTCCTGCTTTGTATTGTGGTGGTTGGCACATCTGAAATAATTCACTTTAGAGGTAGATCACTTATAATTATTTTCATATCTGTTTATTTTTTTCCACTGTCAAATTATTATAAACTTCAACTTTAGATGGTTGATTTCAGTATTTTAGTTTGCATCATAAAAACAGAAACTGCAATTTTTGCAGTATCCACATACATTCTTCAACATATAGGTGCTTGAGTTCCATTTTCCATTCCAAATTCATCCTTTACCTTAAATGCTCTTTCAGCCTTCTTAAATTCTTCTTGCTGAGACAAAATGATATGTTGAGTATTTTTTTTAAATGCAACAAAATTACTTGACTTATTTTTGTCTAAACGTTCTCTGTGGTAAATCTAAAATGAAACAAACCTTTAAAACAAAACTGAGTCCTCAATTATGTGTATTTTTAACAGCTAAAACATCAGCACAGGATCTTCAGAGTACTTTAGCCTTAGTGAATCATAATTCACTTTACAATGATTTCAGTTTAAGCCACTTTACATATTTGAAGTGTCATAAGAAGTCCATATTACTCCATCAAGTCAGAGCTTGTAACCAGTTTGTTCGGCTCCCGTGTTTTAATGGAAAAGCCATGTGTGTCAGTGTCTGCAAACTCAAAGAAACAGGTGCAGGTTTAAATTCTGCTGAGCTGTGTAGTTCAATTTGAAGGATTTTGTAAGACACCCCACACACACACACACAGTGTAATCTTTGTAGCACCAGAATTTGTTTGCCTAAGTGTATTTTCCCCTTACTTTAGGGCTGTGAAAGCCAAAGACTCCATATTACAAAACAGAAAGTACATATTGGTTTGGTTTTGCCTCTCTCTTATTACTGCGACTGCTGCTTGTAGCCACAAAATTCTGTATAGTTTCAGTTTAGCCTGAGACAGAAGATGTTTCCAGTCTTGCACATAAAAGTCTTGTCCCACTACTGGCAAGGGTAATTTTGAAACCTCAGACTTGAACATACATCTACACAGACAGCACAGAAGTTGGCAGGGTTTTTTTTCACAATTTTTAACATAATTTGTCCCAAAAGCAAAGTTAAAGTAGCTATTCCTGATGGGCTTTATATCGAGTAGGAATTTGTGTTGTTTTCTTTCTAACACAGATTTTCAGTATTTAAGATATCTACTAAAAATTTTTCCCAAGTCTCCAATAGATCCTGAAAGAGTCGTAAAATACCTGGTTAAAAGGGAACCTCAAGCATGGTCTGGTCCAACCTTTCTTGATAAAATGAATCTGAATCTGTTTTTTGTTTCTAGAGTAAATTTGGAGGCACTACTCTAAGAGATACTTGTTTGGAATTTTTCCACTTTATGGTATGAGTTTGCTTCCCCTGACTTGATGATCATCATGAAAAACAATCAAATTTCCTCAGCAGAGAAGGTGTGCAGCAGCCTATGCCAGCTCCTCCTTACTTGCATCGGTGCTGTGGAACAAAGTCTGCTTCCATGGCCTAGTGTGTGCAGCTGTGTGAGGTGTGATCACAATTTGGGGTTTTCCACTCTCACAGAAGCAGCAGCAGAATTTGCCCTAATGACAAGGCAGGTCAGCTGCAGGAACATGTGGGTTCTAGCCCTTGCTCTGCACCAGCTCTTCTAGCCTTGCACACAATGCCATAAACATTCAGGAGGCAATATCTGCCCAACCCTGTTTGCACCACAGCAATGCTGCTGTACCCAACTCTGTGCTGGAGTGTGTATTGTGAAGGAACCTTTTTCAGCTCAAACACCCATTTTTCTTGTCAGAGAAACAGGAGACCCATGGGCCACACAAGTATAGAGTGTATACATCCTGATTTCACTCTTAGGTCTGGAAAAAACTTAAAACAAGTCAGATATATTAAAAGAGCTCTTTAAACAAAGTTACCTATTTGTCACACCCTCCCTTCCCTCCAAAAAAAGCCCTTCTTCCTGATGTGAGTCCAATTAAAAAATACATGGTTTTGGTTCTTTTGGTTTTGTTGTTTTGGTTGGTTTTTTTTTTTACCTAATGCAGTCTTTTCAACATTATTTGCTGAAAAGAAGACAATGGATATTATGTTTTCAAAAAAATAAAACTATTTCTGTGTTTTAAACACCTGCCAATCTGAAATCTATTGTGGCTTTTTTCCCTACTGTGGTGAATAATTTTGTGTTGGGATACCTGCAATAGTAGAAGAAGCTTGTTCTCTTTTACAAGTATTTTCTTAAAGGAATTGGCCAGCTGTCATCATTTTGCAGTATTTAATAATGCAGATATTTAAAATTAATATTTTGCCAAAGAATTCTAGCAGCTTTTTTGGTTTTAAAAAGAAAGTGGTTTTGTAGTCTTTGAGTCATATGACAAATCAACTTAGTGATAGATCTTGAGAGGGTAAAAAATAAAGTTTTACTGGAAAAATTGAGGTTGCGCCAGCCATCACAGTAAGCATTCCTTTTCTTGACGAAACTGCATGGAATACCTAACTGTCAAACTTCTACAGAAGTCGGCTAACATTTCCAAAGTACTCTTATATCAAAATCTAATGAAAAAGCAAGGCAGATTTCTTTCTTTTCCTTCCTTTTTTGCTTTTTTTCCCGCTTGGCTGCAAAACACTGCCTTTCTCTGCCTCTGATTCCCTTACTGCTTTCTTCGTTTGTAAGTTCAGCATACGTCAGTGTCGCTTCCTCTTTTGCCCCATCCTACCCTCTTTCCATCTTCTTCTGCCTTGTAGGTGTTCAGTATGTTTTTGGAGACCCTGGTCGACTTCATCCAGGTCCATAAAGAAGATCTGCAGGACTGGCTGTTTGTACTGCTGACACAGCTGTTGAAAAAAATGGGTGCTGATTTGCTTGGGTCTGTACAAGCAAAAGTTCAGAAGGCACTTGATGTCACAAGGTAATGAGCTCTTTAAAAAGTAATAGTAACATATTTGTTAGCTATATTCAAGGGTTTTGCTGCTTTTATTTTTTTTTTTGTGTGCTGTTTGATTTCTGGAAAAATGCACGGCTCATAGCAGATCTTGAAACTTGAGTAAACCTTATTGCTTCAGCATTTTGGTTTCGTGAAATGACTCCTAATTGAAAGGGTTTGAGTCCTCAGTGCTGAACAATTAATATGATATCACTTACCTGATTCCAAAATGTGCATTTGAACCGTGTATGTTTGTTGTCTCACCTTGTTTTCAGTGATGTAGAAATTGTGTTTGCACTTCTTTATTTTGCTGTGTTTCACTGGAATATTCATCTCTGCATCAGCATTAACTTTTAAGGAGTTATGGTAATAATGGATTTGCTTTCTGTCTTCCCTTCCTTCTCACCAGACTTCACTAATAGCCTGATTTAGAATCAGAATTCTAGCCTATCGTTATTATATCATTCCTCATTACTTGGATTACCTGTTCTAGCTATAGTTACTTAATAGCAGGAATTCCTTAAGTGTTGTCCTGAACATGCTAGGTAAATGTTTCTTAAAGGTCAGATACAGTGGCAGCTAGTAGCAGTTTCAGCTCTACTGAGAAGGGTGAGGGCTTATTTGGTGCATCTCAACAGTTCTTAAAAGAAAATTTAATGTAACTTAACATTATTTTGTTTGTTTACAGGGAATCTTTTCCAAATGACCTCCAGTTCAGTATTTTAATGAGATTTACTGTTGACCAGACCCAAACACCTAGTCTGAAGGTAAGACTTTTTAGGCTTGCTTTGCAGACAGAAATATCATTAATAGAAATTTGCTTAATTTTTTAATTTGGATTCTTATTTTTGTTTTGTGTAAAAACAAAGAAAAAGAAAAGGTTTTCAATTAGTGGATTTTGTTTTTATAAACTTTCAGACAGTCAAGCCAGCACTGCAGGACCAGCTTCGCTCTTTTTGGAGCTCAAAGGTTTTTGTCTGAATTACTGTCTTTATTCTTAACCCTATGTGAAACTCTTACAGTGTTACCAATAATTTGTATTTGAATGCATTGTATGCTGCTACTAACCTTTGCGAGAAACTTGAAGCATGCAGATGCTCAGTTTTAAACATGACACTAGTATGAAAATGTTTGCTGCAAGAGAGATCTAATAAAAACACAGTACAGTAAAAATGAGCAACAAAAATGTGGCTGCCTAACATCAAGCTGGTTATGCAAACTCACCCTATCAAGTCTTTCCTAATTTTATGTTTGTGATTTCCCATACTTTTTTCCCTAGTTCATATATATATATTTTCCTGTGTTCAGCCTGATAGGCCTTGAATTATTATAAATTATTCTAATATTAATGTGAACTTGAGTTACTATATTAAAAATCAGCTACTTCTGTGGTACACTGCTCTGAAAGCAGTGTGTAGCTTTATAATTACACACATTTTTACCTAAGAATCTGTAGTCTGTAGACCTTCCAGCATATCTGAAAAGTAAAAATGTATTCTGTAGTACATTTGCAGTTCCAAAGAGTGTTGATTTTAGAACAAATGCATCAAATCCTAAGAAGACTTATAAGTGATGAGAATGGGGAAATAACAAGCATATGATAACTGGCATCTTCTGCTCTATCCTGCACGAAATATTTTTACTCCGTTTGATACTGCACAAGAATATGACTTTTCCAGAGTTATGTTGAACCTGAAGTCACATGAATATGCCTTTTTTGTCTACAATACAGTAAAACTTATATTTTTAAGCTTTTGAGGACAGTTGATACGTTGACCACTGTTGCTTCGTAGAGCTGTGTTAAAAAGGGACTGCTGTCATTTATTGAAGACAGCAAATGAGGTAGTAAAAATCAGTTTGTTGTTTAAATGAATCCTTGGAACAAATTGAGATTGGTTTTATTTTTGCTTGGTTTTCCTCTCCAGGAAGGTGAATTTGATGGTTGAGATATTCCTTTTTCCGTACAGTAGTGTGTAGCTGTTAAAGGTGTGTCAAGCACATTTCAAAGCTGAGAGTGTAGATTTGGAACAAGACATGGACTCCTACTAGGCTAATTTGGGACTGAGTTCAAGATTATTCCCTAAGTGGTCCAGAAAGAATTCAGAAATACAAAACACTTGATGGGAAGACATTCTGAAAATAATTTTGAGAGGGAATTCTGAAATCAAGATGCTGGTAAAAGTTATCTCTGTAGAAGAACCTATAGTTCTATACTATACTATAGTATAGTTTGAAGCAAAATCAAGAGTATTTAGAATGAATTTTTGGGACAGTAAATTATGTAACTGTTTAAGAAAAGGTAAGCTTTCTTTTTCCAGAAGAAAGTGGAATCTGCCCCTTACTTCCTTTTTATATGGTAACTACAACTTCAAGATTCAGACGGTAAAGTTATTTATTACCCATAGATCAGAAGTATCTATTTAATATCCACATTATTGAGTATTTTGCCTAAATCCCATCTTCACTGCATCCAGATAGCATAATTGATATAACCAATTGAATAATAGGTGTGGTCAAAGCCCACTGAATAATTGATAATCTTAGAGGACTACTCCAATTCTTGAAGTCTTGAGCTTTGGTTCTTTGATAAATGACTATCCCATTGCTTTTCTTCTAGGAATATTGAGAAACAGCATTCACTGTGATAGTAAAAATTCATAGAAGGGATTTTCAGCATCCCCAAAGATGGTCAGATAGGAGGAGAGGATGGTAGATCAGAAATTTGAGCCATGTAACAATTCCCTTCTACAAATTACTTTTTCGTCTTTTTCACATGATATTAATAAATAATCATCATCCTTTGGAGTAAACTGTCATCGTCATTCTTACACTTAAAAAGACAGCTAAGTCTCAGGCAGTAAAACTTGAGCTTTAGAGGGGCCACAGAGATGGATTTGGATAGCTGGGCAGTAAGGCCAACTATAGAGGAGATAGAATTCTACTGCCTAATCCATGAGGGATGCAGTTTAGGGTGTTGTGCTGTATCTGTCATGCTTCTGCAGTCACTTTATGTTTAGGTGTGGTGAATTACTGAGACACAGTTTATAGGTGCCAGATGTACGTGTCTGGTTTGGTCAAATGTTTGGATGGGCATAGGAGTCAAATGTTCTAGGTGGGATATAATCTATTTAGCTTATTTTTGCAGGTGCAAAACATACAGTTTCCAAAGGATGGATATTGTCCTGAAACACGCTTCCAATCATCACTTCATTTTTCTTGTGTTTCATATCAACTCAGCCTCAGTGAGGAGTTGATTTAAGCATTGTGACCAAAGTTCAAGTTTCTGAATCCTTCTTTATTTTGAAAATGCTGATTTGTTGACAGAGATTTTTGCCACAGTTGATCAGAAGATTTTTTTTTTTTAGTCTAAGTCAGCATTAAAATTTCTAGATTAAAAAAACCCTGAGTAACACAGATTCGCAACAATTTGTTTGTAGCGTATATTTTAGTGATGTGGTTATATAAGAGCACAGGCAATCACTTCTAAGTATTCAGTAAGTTAGAGAGAGGCGCCTGGGCAAGTGACAGTATTGAACAACTTCTTGGAGAGTGGTTTCAACTTAACAGCAAATATTCACTATAAGAATTCTGGAGATGCTTTCATTGCAGTCCAAAAATTTTTCTCTCAGAAAGATGAAATGGATTGTTGAAGAGTGAAATAGATGGTTGAAGATATTAGCCTTTTTATTTCTAAATTGCAGCTCTGTATGTAGTTACTGGAAATATTGGCAAAGATACTTCTAAAGTAGATTTGCTGCTCTTATGGAGTTTTACTTCAGTGTGGAGTTTTTAATCTGTAATAATACTGACCACAGAAAGGTGTACCCCTTCCAGAATTTCTTACCTCAAAAACTGCTTTTTTTGTTAAGTAAAAAATGCTTTTTTTTGAAATAGCTGTCAGGTTTAGCTTTGGGAATCTGCCTCTCTGTGAAAAGCTCTATTAGTAAGAACTCCCTCCATTCATTTTCTGTTCAGTGCTGTTCTGTCCAAGAGCCTCCATTTTTGCTGAAGTCTGTGCAAGTTCCTCAGGAAGCAGTTCTTCAAACACTAAATAATCCCGCTCTCTCAAATAAAGTACTTCAGAGTCTCTTCACTGGGAGAAATACCTCTGGGTGTTCTAAGTGTTACAGTCCTTAACAGCAACCTTTAAGTCTTACATTAGATTTATTTAAATCCTCAGCAGTCAAATGTAGTGGTGTCACAATGGTTTCTCTATGTAATCTAGAAATGTCAGCTATTGCTTTGAATTTGGAAAGCCATGTGGCCTAAGGTTTTTTGCTGCAGAGATGTTCATGGCTTGTTTTTTTCCTTGGAAAATAGCTAGCAAATAGTGTGCATTTGTAGATATTGATCTGCATAAGGTGAAAGCCTTCAGCTGCTGCTTGGTATGACTTCAGAGAAGTTGAGCTTTAACAGCTGCTTTGGAAATGAAGTATTCATTATTAATCCTCACTGTGTGTGCCAGTGTATCTTGAGTTTTTAATCACTTGCAAGTTTCATGACCAAGAGAAATTTCTAAATAGCTTTGCACAGAACAGTTGCACTACAAGCCATGAACAACCAGAAATACACCCAGAACTCTTTTTCTCTCTGGTTATGATGGACATAGGTCTCTCCCTCCTGGTAGGTATTTTTGGTTCACTATAATTACTAGTGGAAATAAAAGCAACTAAACCTGATAGATGGTCTAAATAAATGTCCACGACTTTCATTGACAGATTGGGTGACAAATTTCTGAGGTAGTAGGAGCTGAGGAAGTAAATATTTTAGACATGCACCACAGGTGTATTAGACCTTTGCCCAAAAACTGTGCAGTGGTGCACAGAGAAAGCAGAGAGGGGCTGCAGTCTGGGATGTACAAAACAGGGATTCTGCATAAGGAGTAAAACAAGTTCGTGGAGTAAGAGAATGATCAGATAAATGAGAGAGCTCAGGAGGTTTTTCTGTCCTCCTGGTAAATCCATGTCTCTGTTATCTGAATATATTCAAATAAAGTGTTCATGTGACCAGTCTTAAGTCTTTCCTAGAAATGCTATTCCATACATTTTTTAGTATTTAGTGGGAAGATTCCTGTGGCTTATTTCCAGAGACCATGACTGTTCAATCTGATGTTTTATGAAAAAAGCACTGAGTGTTAACTACCTGGTAGGAGCTACTAGGAAGTGATCATTGGTTCATCAGATGATGTTCATTTTAGCACTTGAAAAACTTTCTTAATAATTCTGAATTAATCTTTTCTTCATTTCTTTTTTTTAAATATAAGCTTCTGCATATGCAATGATTTATATCTTTTAGTTGCTATCAGTGAAATGTAAGCTTTCTATGAGTACTTGAATGTCTGTGGAATAACTTTCTTCTTCAAATGTTAAATCCATTTGTAGATTGTTTTATTGCAAAAAAAAGTACATTAATGCTGAAAATGTGTAGTTTAATTGGAAAAAAAAAATCTTTATTTTAGGGAATGAACACTCTGTGAGCTCAGTTGTTCTTGCAGCCCACCATTGTTATTGTCAACCTGACTCTGTTTCTCTTTGCAGGTCAAAGTTGCAATCCTAAAATACATAGAAACTCTTGCGCAACAGATGGACCCAGGAGATTTTGTAAATTCGAGTGAAACTAGGTTAGCAGTGTCTCGAATCATCACCTGGACCACAGAACCTAAAAGCTCAGATGTTAGGAAGGTATGTTTGTTAATGTGTCCTTAGAATTGCAAAGCATTCCAGGTAATTAAGAATATTTAAGTAAAGATTTTAAATTAACATCTTGAAACTCTCAATTACAGTTGTGTTTTTATATATGTTAGTATGTTGAGATTCTGTTTCATAATTTATCATTCTTCATTGCAACTGTCTAGTACTCAAATCTCTTTAGTGGCCATTTTTGGTACAGTTTTAATATTACATCAGAGACCACCCCCTGTGATACTGAAGAGCACATATGTAACAAGAGTGAGAGGTAAATTTGGTAGCAAACTCAGTGTAATCTCTGTTGGATTTTCTAGAGTCCCTTTTTTTAACAACAGGTAGGTAGATAGCCATTGAACCTTGGACAAAGCAAGTGCTTTGATAAGGTTATTGGCTTATTGTCATAGGCTTATTCTTGTAATGCTGCACTTTAAGTGCCAACCTCCCTTTTCCACATCATGATGTGAAGTGAAAATTAACATCTATGAGCTACATAGATAGAGGAGGGATAAATAACCATAAGAAATGTACTAGTGCTGTCTTTGGAAAGGGTTTCTAAACAGCACTTGAATTTGTAGAAAGCAAAAAAATTTTATAATTTTATTTGCGGTTTGATGGAATAGTTTTGTTATTCTGATGATTACAGGTCATGCTGTGTAGCTGCCATTTCTAGCATGTAAACACTCCAAAAATGTTGTACCTTTTTTTGTTCCTCAGTGCAAGTGTTTATGACAAGGAGAGCTAACTCTTTCTCTTTTTCTGTCTATTTCTGCAGTTTGAAAAGCAGCAACAATTAATTTGTTGAGATCTGTTTTGCTACTTTCAATTAAGTTTGAGTTTTGGCAGCTTCATCATTTCTGGAAAGAGTAACTTCCTTTGTTTAGGAGGGATGTAGGAAAGAATAGTAGGGGCTATCTTAAAAATTGTAATGTGAAGAAAACAAAAATAAAAATAACTTACAAGACTTCTTGGTATCTAGAATGTTTGTAATACATAATAAAAAAACACCAGAGAGTTTTTGTATTGAAGGTAATGTTTTAGTCATTCACTTCTTGTATACTTCATGAGTTTGAGAAGACAGTAATAGATTACATCAAATGGATTTTCCTTGCCTGAGTATCATGTTCTAGTAACATATAAAAGATCATAGAACAGGAGGAGAATTGAAGCAGCACTATCTTCTAAATCTGTGAAGTTTTAGTATTGAGACACGTGGCAAGCTGTCTTATCTGATGGTTCATAACCCTAATAAGCATTTTTATGTCAATAAGTAACTGAATCAATGCAAAGAATTACCAGTGAGTTTATTCATCTGGAACACCTTAATTATGTAAGTTTTCAGAATTTATTTTTCTTTCCATAACACAGCTCTTTGAGGCAACTAACTGCAAAAATCCTTTAACAGTTGAAAATAAAATTTTGCCAATAAGAAGTCAAAAGAGTTATTCTGATAGTATAAAATGTTTAATTCTCTTAACAGTCTTCTCATCCTGCTATCACGGCCTTCTTAATTTTATTGGGTGTAATAAGCTTTATAGAACTTGGTGTAATTTCTTTAAATTAAAAGCTTTTTCTAAGTAATTTCTGTGTAATTCATGGGTTTGGTTTTTTTCCTTAGCAAAAACAGCTCTAGTGCTAAGTATTATGAAAAATCCGAATTCATTAGTCTCACATTGGGCACTCGTAGTGTAGTTCAGTGACATGGGACTTCTTTCTGGAAAGTAAAATTCTGTTTCAAAACTTAGATTTTTTTTAAGATTAGAATGCTTCTGGAAGAAGTTTGAATCTCTTCTTAGAAAATTTCTAAGAAGAAAGCAAAACCAAAGAAATATTTCTAATCTTTATTTCACTCTTTTAAAGATTATCTCTACATGAGTGAATTTAAATCTCAGCAGAGACCTTATGCTGGGGAAAACAAAAACCTCTAAATACTCCAAAATGCAGGATTTCTTGGGTAAGGAAGAAAGAGAGAAAATAGATAATTGCGTTGAAAACCTTCTGCAAGTCAGTATCAGTTTTGATACTATAGACAGAGCTTCATTTTGGGCAGACTTGATGGTGTCAGTTTCTGTCCTGATACAATCCTGGACTGGCTATTGTGTTCTCTCAATAGCAGCTTAAATAGACACAGTATTAAGGAGTGGAGATTGGCTAACCAGACAGAAAAAAGAAAGTGGTGATTTCCACACCTCAGCTGCTAAATTTGTCTTGGTTTTGCTTTGTATCAGTTTTGATTAAAAGAGTGACCATTAGAAATGACAAGGATGAGAGAAACATCAGACAGATTGCAGAGGACATTCAGGGTGATCATTTGAAGGGAAGGCTATCAAAGGGACAAGGAAATAAATGTTAAAGAAAACAACCAGTCACGAGTATGCAAAGACAATTTGTGGCAATCTGACATGCTAGGATTTTTGTTGTTTAACTTAATACTGAGATGTGTGCAGGTATGTGTGCTCATACCTTGGCTCTACACTTTTAATTAAAAAATGCTACAGTTCATTGCTCTGGAAGCAAAAGGAGGGAAATAAATGTCTAAAAGAATTTTCTAAACTACTTACTTGGAGTGTATTGGTGGTTAAGCAAGCTGCCTATCATTCTGTTTAGCATGAGGCACTGGTTCTCTCCAGTGCATGGCAGATCTTGAGAGTGAGCTGTATAAACTGCACATAGTTGGTTAATCTTACAACCACAGTCTTCTGCTACAAAGTCATTCTGGAGAACTTCCTCCAGCTCTCATTTGCACTTGTTAGTTTAGTGACTGTGTTGACAGGTTTGTTACACTATCCAGTGAATCTTCATCAAACTGTACAAACATTACTTAATTCTTTCAATCAAGAGTTCCTGTACGAGAGGGAATCCAACTATTGTGTCATTTACTGTGTTGCTTTGTCAGTAGAGAGTGCTGATTTTTTTATTCAGGTAAAAAAAAAAACCCAGCATGTGTAAAACATGCTGTAGGCTGAATGTGATAGTAAAGATGAACTGATTAAATTGAGAGTATGGGAGGTGACATCCAGTACAAACTACTCCACAGATTTCATCTTCAGAATATGTAGTCAGCTAAATTCCATTGCCCATTATGTTTGCCTACCTTTTAGAAAGGTTAAAGGAAGCAGGCAAGGTTAACTAACTAGCTTGGCTGTAGGGTAAGTTATGAGGAGTATCAAGTGCTGTGATCACTACTGTCTCATTCCACATTAGGGTATCTTGTTTGGTTGGGTTTATTTTAATTTCTACAGTGCTAACTGTTCCTTTTTAGGCAAGTGTGTTACCATCTGTAATTTTTTACCACTTGCAGAACTCAGTAGAAAGGATCACATGCTTGCTCCTGCCTGGAGTGTTTCATGTCTCTAAATTTATTCAGCTTCCCAAACTCTGAAAGCCATTTTGTAAATTCCTTCATTATTTTTTTTTTCAGTAAGGATCTGGGGCTAGGGGGTTTGAAAAGCACATTTCTGAAAGACTGCTTGTTACAGTGGTAGTTGTGTGCCTGAATTTAACAAAATCAGAACTTCCAGCTTGCCAGCAAATATGAATTTCTTTTGTTCACATCTGTTAACATCTTCATTCAAGCTTGATCAAGACTTAAGTCACATTTTGTGATTACCACTCATTATGGCATCTTTTGCTGATAAAATTACTTTGAAACTCTAATTAATGTCTTCAGTTTGTGTTTTCTTCTTGTAGGCTGCACAGTCAGTGCTGATTTCCCTTTTTGAACTCAACACTCCAGAGTTTACAATGCTGTTGGGTGCTTTACCAAAAACATTTCAGGATGGAGCCACAAAGCTTCTCCATAATCATCTCCGGAATACAGGCAACAGTGGTCAGGTATCCACTTCTGCTACTCTTCTTTCTGAAGTTACTATGTAAAAGTCTACTTAGTAGCTCTCTATGGAATGTCTTTTCCTTTTCCTCTGCAGTTACAGTTTCTTAGTCCATGTCACTTCCAAGTGTCTTCATAGGTTTGGTTGTGCTTTTTAAGAGTAGTTTATCTTGTGCTTTCTGATTTCAAAGTTACACACGATTGTAGTTACTAGTAATGGGTTATACAATCCAGGAATTTAGTTGAAGCTCTTTAAATGTTTCTGGGCACCAGAAAAATAAATATAGTAAATTAAAAGGGAAGCTTTTAGTCCTACTAAGTATCTTTTCTCACCTCTCCTCCTCCAGGGATCGATGGGAAGTCCTTTAACAAGACCTACTCCACGCTCCCCAGCAAGTTGGTCAAGTCCTCTCACTTCCCCAACCAATACATCACAGAACACTTTGTCACCAAGGTAATGTAGACTGGTGGTGTTAAAATTCCGCATCTAAGGCTTATAACACATTGTCCACAATGTAACCCCAGCAATGAAAGCATTAGCAAAATTTTGCACAAAATGACAGATGCTCAGAAATAATCCCTCTTCCTCCATAGAATGAAACTGCTCAGCCTCCCAGAACGGGGGGGAGGCTGAGGAGGGAGGCCTGATGTGGGAAAGGGCTGTCCATCTTGGAATGCAAATGGATTAGCAAGAGAATGAACCAGTGGGCTTCTCTAACAAGTATTAAAATATGTCATGTCATGGTTTAACCCCAGTTAACAACTAAGCATCATACAGCCACTCAGTATCCCCATGGTGGGATACTGGGGACAGTCAGAATATAAAAGAGAAAAAACTGAGATAAAGACAATTAATTAGGTAAAGCAAAAACTGCATGTGCAAGCAACAGACAATGAATTTGCTACTTCTTATGGGGGGGGGGGGGGGGGGGGGGGTGGTCAGGTGTCCAGCTGTCCCAGGAGGGCAAGACCCCATCACTTGTAGCAGTGACTTGAAAACTCAAGTGCCATGACTCTGAACATCCCTCCCTTCCTCCTTCCCTCACTAGTATATGCTTAGATGGTGATGCCATATGGTGTGGAACATCCCTTTGGTCCGTGGGGTCAGCTGTCCCAGCTGTGTCCCTTCCAGCTGCTTGTGTACCCCCGGGCTGCTCGCTGCCAGGGCTGTGTGAGGAGCAGAATAGGCCTTGGCTCTGTGTAAGGACTGCTCAGCTGGTACAGGAACAGCCCTATGGTAACAACCCCATTTCCAGCACACATTCAAAGCATAGCCCTCCAGCCAGCTACTGTGAAGAAAGTTAAGTCTGTCCCAGCCAAAAGCAATACACTGGGTTATCAAACCAGATTTAATACTGGGGAGATTAAAGAAGTAATAGTTTACAAGTGTTTTTTATAGTAATGATGTTGTCAGCAAAGTGGACTCTGTAATTTCGCTTTTATCAGTCAACTTGCTGTTGAGTTTTATCAGTGCTCCTTACTTTAGCACTTTTTTCAGAATAAGAGGATGGTGTAAAAAATTCCAGTTGTTTCACATTCAGCAGAGTAAAACAGAGCAAAATAAGTTTTTCTTCAGGCAGATGCTGTTGCCTAATGTAGCCTTTCTCTTATCTACTTTCAGTACTTTCTGTGTCAGTGTTAGTACACTTACAAAGGCATACTATAATACAATTTTGTATTGTGAAGAGACAATTTTCTTAATGTATTTCAAGAAAAGTAATAATTTTAGTACTCTTTAGTAGTTGCCTGCTAATGTGATTTAAAAGTACAGATCACAAAATAAATCCATCTTACTTCCTATGTCCTTCTCCATGGCCCACAGTGCATTTGACTATGACACTGAAAACATGAATTCTGAAGATATTTACAGCTCTCTTCGTGGAGTCACTGAAGCCATTCAGAATTTCAGTTTTCGCAGTCAGGAAGATATGAATGAGCCTGTAAAACGAGATGCTAAAAAAGACGATGGTGATACGGTGAGTATTTAAACTCAGTCCAGGCTGGTATCAGCAAACTAAGCTAGTGTCTGATTGATTGCAGATAAGAAAGCATCTATTTCAGGAGGTTTATATTCTTCTTAAATTGGGCATGTCTCCTGAATTACTTAAGAGCTTTAGAAAAATACGTTCCTAGTCTTGAGCTGCATTTTGAAAACATAAATGTTGATTTTATGTAGCAATGTCTGTGTTTAACATGTTAGCAGTTTAGAAATCAGTGATCTTGCAAAACAGCTGAAATTATTTTTTTGAGACGTTTGTATCCTAATATATGTTTTTCTGAATGTTTTATTTTATTTTGTATACAGCCTGTGGGCTATTTAGATGCACTATTTAGGACCCCTGTTTCTGTGGAACTTTGGCTGTAAGATTTGTTGACCTTGCCATGTGTAAATATGCTTAAACACATTTTTAATCAGTTTGCATGAGACTTGTAAGATAAAATACAATTATTTTTGGTTTATGATTTTTTTGGACAACATACACCTTTTTTTCTGGGTTTTTTTTGTTTGGTGGGTTTTTGTTTTAGTTGGTTTTTTTAAGGAAAGCAGCGTTTAGGGAACTAAGACTCCTTACTTGAAGGCTAGTTTAAAAATTCTAAGCATTTTGAAATTTGTAAGTTTTTGCTACATAAATGAATTAATGATGTATTTAATGGAAAGGTGTAAGAGTGTGTTTCACATGCTCATGTGACACTTGCTCTGGTGCAGATTTGCAGTGCTTCAGGAATGGTGGACATGCGAGCAGGAAGTGGTGTGAGCGATACGGGCCGGACAGCTCTGGATAACAAAACGTCATTACTCAACACCATGCCTCCCCACTCCTCACCACGCTCACGAGAGTACAACCCATACAATTATTCTGATGGGATCAGTGCATTCAATAAATCTGCTTTGAAGGAAGCCATGTTTGATGATGATGCAGAGCAGTTTCCTGATGGTAAGATTCAGGTTACATTCTGTGCTAGAAGAAAAATGATGAGATTTTCTATCTTGGAGTTCAGCTTCTGAAGTTATTGTTAGGAAGATATGTATCACTTTCTTTGAGAGGTTTTTACAAATGCTGTATTTTTAATTAGTTTATTTGTTAGTCATCTCTTTGAGTTACATTGTTGGATTACCTGGTATCTGTAGAGACTAAGGGTAAAAATGAAGGAAATGCTGAACTATATTGTGTACTTCTGGAAGCACCTCTTTTATCAGTATTGCCAGTATAAATTTACCTATCAGATTGTTTTATGATTGAAATTTAAAGTAGGAGGGTGGAGAAAAGATTTACAGCAAGGAAGTAAAACTGGATCAAACTGGTTTGGGAATTAGGTGAAAGATTAAGTATTTTGTTAGTAATATATTTATATTTGAAACATGGCATTGGCATTTTCTGTTGACTAAACATTATTTTTAAATGAAACAAAACAAACCAGCTTTTTACCAGGAAGGTGTTTCATCTAGCCCATGTAAATATAGGAACATGGGTTGCTGTTTTGTAGGCTTCCAGAGCCTCTTTATGATATTTCTCCATTTATCTTTAGGTAATTTTTTCTGTCTTTATGTTAAGAAGGTTCCAAAGTAGCACTACTCTCATTATTTTAACAAATAGTCAGTGGTTCTCATCATCTGGTATTCACTGTTGTTCAGCTATAGATTAAGCTTTTAAGTAAACACTTTCTTAATAACAAGGGACAAAATAATCATCTCCCTTCTACCTGTTTTGCTTTTGTCATTCTGCAAAAGATGTGTTACAGAAACAGTTAAAAACCAGTTATTTTTTGACATGGTGTTTTATCCACCTATTCTATAAGTTGGCTTTAAGTTTGCATCAAATCAAAACCAAATCCAAGTATGGTGCATTTTTCTTTGTTTTTCTTACATATCATGGAGAAGCATATAGTGCAGCCAGATACTATCTTCTGAAAAAGATGGAGGGAAAATCACAGTTTTACAAATCATGTCATGTACATATTAATAATTAAATAGCTTTGCCATCCACATACAGAGTCAGGTTATCTTTGAGATTCTATATTAAGGGATCTTGTTTTACATGGGAGAAGCCTCCTACCTTCTGACAATTAATTTTTGGGTATTGCATTAAACCAGATGCAGTCTGTGCTGTGCCAGCATGATCCAGTTTTGTAATAACTCACGACTGGCTGGAGTGAAGCATCTCCATCTAGTACAAGTTTGTCCTGGTTGGAAGAGTAGTGCAATGCATTATTTGGGTCTGCTTTTTCATGGGTCTTGATGAATACTTGCTTTCATTCCTCTGCTGTTCACCCATAGTATTTAGCTGTATCATGTACATTCTGTCATTTGTGTGTTACTTTTAGAATTTCACTGGGAATATTTGCAAAAAGTCTGCAAGAGAAAAGATACAAGCAAAATAGCTTGTATGTACAACTCCTCTGTTGAGAGTTACACACTTTTCCCATAAACCTGAAGGGCTAGTTAGTTATCCATTTTTGGAAACTCCACAGAATTGCTGCTTGTTCCTGACACAAAATTACATTAGTACTGGATTCTCAGCTATCCTGTCATGCATTACTGACAGAAAGATGTGGAAATACAAGGCTAGATGGGAAAACCTTAGCTGCTTATACAGTCCTGTCAACAGCACTGGGGCAGGAATGTGTATTTTACAGATGGTTTGTCTGGCAGTTGAAAATTTTCTGTGGAGGAGATGCCACAGTGTCTCTCACATGACTCACATTTGAGTGTTATCCTTCTCTTATGTAAAAAGGCTTTCAGAGTAACAGCCTAAATCCTCCAACCACTTGCACTTCGTTTTTTTCCCCAAGGAGAATGCACTTTATCTGAAGCATAGGGAAACCTGGCTCTCCAAGTCACTTCCAGACTTAAAAGCAGTTCACAGTCTCTGTTTGAAAAACAGTGCTCTTCTCCAAAGAAGCTTATTTATTTCAGCTTACTTCCATGGATTCCACTTTGAAAACATCTTCCTTTTTACCTCCCACTTTGTACATGGACTAAGATTTCTGCTTCTGTCTCACCTTACACTTGGCATCTTTTTTCTTCCAGACCATTCCTTTGATTTAACATGGTAATTTTCAGTTCTTATCCTGTTCTTCAGAACGTTTGTGATTGCTCCTAAAGTGATGTCATCTACAGGTTTTCTAAATTGGCTCCACATTCCTTTGATAGCACTAACAAATGCATCCAACAGAGCCAGGCTCTGCACACATCCAAGCAAGGACATCACTCATATCCTCCTGGATTAATAGAAAGCCATTTATAATCCAGTCACCTTGCAAGTGATTCATCAAGTTTTGCACTTGCTTTGTTTGCTTTTTTTGGCCATCATGTTTGCATAGCTTTTATATTAGGATGTTGTGAGTGGCAGTAGGAAAATCTTTCCTAAATTCAGGACATACCTACATGTTCCCTTTTAACCCCTACACTGTTTGTCCTGTCAAAAGGATATTATTTGATTGGTTTGAGAAGAGCTGTTCTTCATCAATTATTTATCTCTCTAATGAAAATTTTAATTCATTCAAATGAAGGAGTTGTATCTACTCCTCTTCATTTTTCCTTTCTGAAAAAGAAATTTTGAGAGTAGACTTTGAACATGACTTATGCTCCTCCATTCTTACCTGAAGAATGTTTGGAAACTAATTACTGGGTGCTAAGTCACACAAAGGAATGGAAAAGGCAAGCTGAAAAGGCACATCCCTCTTGGTTATCTTCAGGTTTTTCAGTTATGTAGTCCACAGATACTGAAGCTTCTTTCCTCCCCTTATTCCTGCATGGACATGGCTATTACCTTCCCCTCTCTTCAACCCTTCCATCCATCCCTCTGAGATGACATTACAATGAACATACTTTATTAAAACAGATATGAGTAGTTTTGCTAATGAAGTGTCAATATGCATTCCCTGAAAATGGATTTGCTATGCTATAATTCTTACAGTTTGTTAGAACAAGTATAAGAGTGCTGCCAGTAAAAGTAATGATGTTGCTTCCGTAAAAATGACTGTCCATTCTGCTCATCCGCTGTAAATAATAACTGACCTAATGCAATTTCAGTCTGCCCTTTAGTCAAACATTAATCATCCACTAATACAGAGGCAGCAGAAGTGTTTGTAGTTTGATTTCAGGTGCTGGTGCTCCTGTTTATTCATGCAAAACAGAATGCAAATAGGAATGTGGGGTTTAAAACCAGCATGATTTTTACAGTAGGTGATGTGCGATATTAAGATACTTAATTCTGTAGTACTCAGCATTTACTGTTTTATTTGTACAAGTGCTTTGTACAGCATTTGTAAGTTCAAGGGCTGTGGTTTCTCAGTGTATGATATAATTAATTTGTTATGGAGGATGTAGTTCATGTGTTAGTAGTTCATGCAGTTCATGTTCATGTAGTTCATGCAGTCATTTCAGGAAAGGTGCAATGAATTTGCATTGTATGCCAGAACTTCCAAATTTTTGCCTTAGGAAAAGGCATATTTCTGTTAATTTAACCAAATGTTTCAGTGCAAAGATGGAAGCTATATGCTTCCCTTTCTTCAAGGCTAAATGGGTCTCAATGATGGAATAAAGATACTCAAGTTGATGCTCAAGTTTTCATCAAGACCATATTTAAGTTTCTTGACAGTTTGTAGATCACTCTGTTTACAGTCCAGTGTTTACAAATGCGGGCTGTATTAATAATGTATTTTTCCATTCTCATGGAATTGTCTCTAATAACAATTAAAATCCAGAGCCATCTCTTAGTGAATTAGTTTTGAGATCTATGGGACTAGTAGCCCTGGTTTGCCTTTATTTCAGCTCTTTTGTACCAAGAACTATTGCACTTTTTTTCCCCCATTTGTTTTAGCAACCTAGCTATTGTGGAATCATGGCTTACAAAAGTCTAAACAATTCTGTAATACTAACAGAGAAAATATTTTTTTTCATCTTGAATGGAAGGGTCATATGGGAAAGATGGCCCTTCTTGTATAGATCAAATTTTAAAGGATGCAGAGTACTTAGTGGGTACTGCAAGCCTAAAAACTCCTGCAGTAGACTAGCCTGCAAGGGAGCTTTTGCTGTGTCATTGTAGGGATTTGGGAGTGATTGTTAGCTTGTTCAGCAATGTTGGCTGCACTGAAAATGTAGTAGCCAAACTGCAGTGCTTGCAGGCAAATGTGGGGGAAAAAACAAAAGCATGCTCGAAAACAAGCAAGTAATACTAGAATATATCCTTTAGTTACGCAACAGACACTGTTATTATTATCTGCAGTAACTGTGTTTGTGCATTCCTTTTTGACAGAGCCTCCCATGGACCATTCTGATCTGGTTGCAGAGCTACTGAAAGAGTTATCAAACCACAATGAGAGAGTTGAAGAAAGAAAGGCTGCCCTGTATGAGCTCATGAAGTTAACTCAGGAAGAGTCTTTTGGTGTTTGGGATGAGCACTTCAAAACAATACTTCTGCTGCTGCTTGAAACACTTGGAGATAAAGAGGTAAATTCAGAAACATCCAGTTAAGAATGTTAATGAAGTACATGGCTTACTTTCAGTACCTTTGACATTTGTATGAGTTGTAGAAAGGGCACAAATTCCAGTTAGTGATGGAAAAACAAAAAACTGTGAAAATAAAAAAATGCCATGAAGTCTAATTCCTCTGATGGTGAAAAGGGCATCAGCAATGCTTACTTTTCCAGGATTCCTGTTTGTGGATTTAGACGTATTAGATTGAATGAAACATTTTTGCACTGAGATTCAAAGCTTATCTGTTTATAGCCCCTGAACGAATCTGGAATATCAAAGCATCATGTGTGGCAAAGCATTTAAAAATTTGCTTCTAAAATACAGTAATACTCGTTATGAAGAGACTGAGTTCTTTATATGTATTAGTTCTCTACAAAGGCCATGTTTCTGAATTACTCAGGATCAAAAAGACAATAGTACTTGCGTTTGTTTTTTAAAATAATTGTATACAGAAAAAGTAAAAAATGGATTTGCATGATGGTTTTATCAGCCCTCGTGTTTGCAACTTCTGGGTAGCATAGATAAGTTAAAATAATTTAGTAATGTGTTTATTATATGTCACCTGCATTTTGTGCAAAAAAAGAGATTGAAGAGATTTCTTTCCTACTTTTATTTGCTAACACTAGATTGAGCCTGTATATGTGTGCAAAGCATAATCAGATATTTTTTCCATTATTAAAGACTTTTCCAGCAGCTGAACAAATGTGAAAAGCATATATCTGTTTAAAGATGCATAACTAATTTATTTTAATATTGAATCTTTAGCATGCAATTAGAGCTTTGGCACTGAAAGTTCTAAGAGAAATTCTAAGAAACCAGCCAGCAAGGTTTAAGAATTATGCAGAGCTCACAATCATGAAGACCTTAGAAGCACATAAGGATCCTCATAAGGAGGTCAGTAATCAGTTATTTTATTTGTTTAAGGTTATATCATTATAAAATTATTAAAAAATGAAAGAGCTGTCCAGAAAATGTGAAATAATCAGTTCTTACTGAGGAAGTAATTCTTTTTAATAATGATCATATTATTATATGTTTAATACAATGATGTTATTAGTTAACATGGGTATGCAAGGAAAAAAACCCTGCAGTTCTAAAAGCTCTTGAATGGGTAATATCATCCCTAATAACGTTTGCCTTGGGTGCCATCCCACAGGACTGTGTAACCAACAGTGTGTCACCATGGCTCTTCAAGGAATAACTGCAAGGTGCTTTTTCCTTGTTTGGCATCTTAAGCAGAATATAAGTGTCCTAGAGATGTAAAACAAGCTTTTGGATTGCAGTGAGATTTATGGTTGAGAGATGAGACTAAACAAGACAAGGAACTGTCACCCCTTTTCATTCTGCTCCATTTGAGAGCATGGCTTTGAATGGTGTTAAGGGAAAATGCAGAGGAATATGTCAGTGGGGGAGGTACTTGTGCCAGGAATAGTGAGGGGATTGAGAAGATGGGTAAGTGTAACCTTGCTCAGAGTTATTTGTGATGCCTGCATACACAATAAAGGACAATGCATGTAAATATAGGAAACAGAGATACAATAACAAACCCAATATTCACCTTCTGACATCAGTGTTGTGGATGCTGTGGAAAGAATCTATGTTTATTATTAAATGAGTACATCTTCCCCATGCAAGGGCACTTTGTGGAATTTACTGTGGAGTTTCAAGCTTTAAAGTTGACTGCAATTCCTCCCATGCCATGACTTTATCACTCATTTGATACTCATTTCTCTTTTCCCTTTGCTCTCTGGATTTGTTTCATATGCTGCATTTATTACAGTGTCATTTCCCCATTGTTCCTTCTCTGTTCCTGTGTTTTTTTCCCTCTCATCATTTTGTGTGTTAGGAGTGAGAGAATAAAGGATGGAGAGAAAATTTTGAAGATTTTTGTACATCACTGTGTACCACCCATTGTGTACAGTGATTCCCCTTGTTAGACGGCAGATGCCACCACAGCACCAATGTGCAGATCAGATGTTAATTTTCTCTGTGGTGCCCTTGTTGTGTTTTGAGCTTGTGTATCTGTTAAATCCTACCTTATTATTCGTGTTCTGCGTATTCTTCAGGGTTAAAGTACTCTATTGTCATAGTTTCTTTCTAAATCATAGGGGAAGAAAAACAGCTCGATTGGCTTCTACAATTAGCCATCTAGGCATGTCATTAAACACACCTTTGAAATTAATGTGAAAGCATGTTTTATCAGTGATCTCTGACCCAACAAGCAATAACAAATGACAACACAAGAAATTACAGGTTTACAAAGGTGGTGATACTTCAATATGTAGTTGGGAGGGTATGCAGAATACAGAAATTTTAGATCCTATTAAACAAGCAGATTTGAAAAACTGATATGTGTATTGTCCAGGGCATAGTAGCCACAGAATATTGGGAAGAATTGTGGTTTTAGAAAATAATGTCCAAAGGCTGGACTCCCTACATATTTCTATAATACTGCAGAGGTCTTGATAGAAAATTTTTATGCTCAAGACCATTACTGCCAGAAAACAGACCACGGAGTAAGAGTCTTATACAAATCACTTTTCTGTGTATTTTTCTTTCAATAGGTGGTGAGATCTGCTGAAGAAGCTGCTTCCATGCTGGCCACTTCCATTAGCCCAGATCAGTGCATCAAAGTTCTCTGTCCAATTATCCAAACTGCAGATTACCCCATTAATCTGGCTGCAATCAAAATGCAGACAAAAGTTATAGAAAGAGTATCTAAAGAAACCCTTACTCTGCTTTTACCAGAGATTGTGCCAGGTCTAATACAGGTAAGGAAATAAGAAAGAAGCAGCAAAACAGACTAATAAAAAGAAACTATATGTAAGAGTTGCAAAGACTTTTAAAAAATAGCAGCACTTTGTTCTTATGAAGGATTTCACTTGTCTGATAGTTGATGGCTGCCTTGACCCAAAATACTTTCAGTAGTGGGAACAATCTCTTTGATTAGCAGGGGGCTAAATTATAACCATGATTAGGACTCGGGAAATCTCAGTAGGGTATATTACCTGGTTATAGGTAAGCTTGGTAGATACTTCCAGTTCTAAGATAGTTCTTTGTTGTTTGTACGTTTTTCCAAGTTATATAATTTGATGTTTTATTTGTGTATAATTGTAGGATTTCATCAGCTAGGGCTTTTGGGAGGCAAGAGGAAAGAAGCAGTTTTATAAAGTTAAATAAAATTAGAAGAATATCCAAGTTTTCTCTTCCCTTGTTTTGAAAACTGAAATTTTTACCATCTTTTTATCATATCAAGAGCCAAAATACATTTATTTCCTTCATGGATCACGACTCTTTAGAGTTGGCAGCTGTAGTCTGCAGATTTGTGTCTATAATGAGTGTGATCCAGCCATACAGCTGCAGGAAAATAGAGGCAGAGAAGGGGCCTTCTGGGAAGGAAGTCTGAGTGAGACAGCCAGGCATGGAGTGATAAAAAATGGCAAAAAAACCCCAAAAATCATAGAAGAATGAGATGGGGGTTAACAAAAGAGTCTTTAGCTATTAAGAGCTGTTTCTTCATTCAGAGCCAGGAAGCTCTAAATTGTGAGTGGTCTTTTGCTTTAAGTAAACATCTGTATAATCTAGAAAGGTTCTCTTACATGCTTCTCTTACCTGTTGCATAGCAGCAGCTCTGTTTTCAGTGTAACTTATGAACAGGGCTGTGTGGGTTTTAAATTCACCCTGGAAAATGATTATCAATGGTTATTAATATGCAGCCTGCTTTTTTACTGCATGCTCTGTATTTGTGTGTTTGGTTTTTTGTTGGAATGCTTCGTTGGGTTACACTGGCATTAATTTCCATAGACTCCAATGTATTTCTTTTGGTAAATAGCTTTCTGGGGCTTTTAGTCATTAACTGAAAAGGTATTAAGGTTAATTTTATTGCTTTCTAGGGTTATGATAACTCAGAGAGCAGCGTTCGTAAGGCATGTGTTTTCTGCCTTGTAGCCATTCATGCAGTAATTGGTGATGAACTAAAACCACATCTCAGTCAACTCACTGGCAGTAAAGTAAGTAGAAGATATGGGTCAAAGAAATCTTGGCTCATAATTGCATCTATGAGTTTGCATTTTGGTTGCCATTGCCAGAAAGTTTCAAAGAAATGTATAGTTGAAAGAGACTATCAGTTGTATTAATACAGCTTTGCCGTAAAATATTCCAAACTGAGAGTCCACAGGTTTTTTATATGCAAGTGTGCAAACTTTTGCATAAAGAACATTACTAAACTGTGTTTCTTACTTCTTTTTAATGCAGTCAGTTTCTTGTATGCTGGTAGCAGTGATAATGGCTGTATTCAGCATTTGGTGTTTATTGTCTCCGTTTTCATGCAAGTTCTGATTGAAAAACAAGGAACATAGTATGTCCATGTTACATACAGCAGTTGCATTTATTCTTCCTCCTTGTTATTTTGCTTTCACCAGTCTTTTCAGTATCTCTAATTTGAAATAACAAGAACCAGTCTTTGGTCCTTTTTGTTTCAGGATATTTATTACTTCACTGGTATCTTTTTCATGCAGTTTTTTTGCATCTAAACAGCTGTATGTTAGTTGTGAATCTCTTTGTCCTTGGGAGTAAAACAGGACAATTAATTTTGTGTGTCTGTGAATAAGACAGTTCAATCTTTAAAATAGTCTCTGGCAGTGATCATATTTAAAGTCACTCTAGACAATAGTGGAAGCTTTAGTACATACCAGCATTAGCATTTCTGACTAGAGGCTTAAACCTCAGCAGTAACTTAAAAGATAAAGGAACCCAAACCACTACCATATTTAGAAAAGCATTATAATTGGAGGAAGATACTCCATCTATCTTAATCTAGCTACTTGATATCATATTCTTTACATCCTTAGAGAAGCTTGAGCAGTTTCCTTGTGTCAAAGTTTACTTGTGTTTGATGTTTTCATTGTCATGTATGTTCCTTTTGAATAACTGTGTAAAGTACAATTTTGCTTTTAGGGAAAAGAAAAAGGATTAATGTCTTATTTTGTTGTACCATTCCTGTAGTCAGTCTGTACAGCTTGCAAATACTAAACAGAGTTAATTTCTGGCTTAAATTTGCAGATGAAATTATTGAACCTTTACATCAAACGTGCACAAACAGGCTCTGGAGCAGGGGATACAGCAGCAGATATGTCTGGACAAAGCTAATGAAGCTGACAAGAGTTAACCAGGTCTCCTAAAGCAAGGGCAAGGCCCTCTTCAGTGAAAGGAAGATCCTTACATGCAACTTCTGGAACTTTTTTCTTGTTTTGTTTTTTTTTCCCCCCTTTCTTTTGTTATTTTTCTTTTGTTTGGGGTTTTGGTTTTTTTTTTTTTCCCATAACCAATGGCTGTCCTCAGCCTGCATGAGACTGTTGCAATAGAATTATTCCAAATCTAAGGAAAAACAGTATTAACATCAGTTGATCAAAGCAGAATAAAAATTTTAAATAATCTTATCTATCAGTTACCCTGTTCATAATCCTCTGTGTCTTCCCATTAACTTTTGCCAGTGTTACTGTATTAAAAAAAAAAAGATTTTTTTTAATGCTAATTAAAAAGGTATGCTTTAAGCTTCAGAAGTTAAAATATAAATTCTGTTGCTTTTCTTCAGCTGCAGATAACATTACTTTTTTATTGCTATTTTGTTTGAGCATCATGTCCTTTGCTAGAAACAAGAAGTGATGTGAAACAAGGCTGAACTAGTCTGAACTGCAGTGAGACTCGTTCACTGTGTTGGTGGTTCATCATCTTATTTACAGCTTGTTTGGGATATTCTGGAGATTGAGAAATATGCCTATAAAAAGAAAGCTGGATCGATCCAGTTCTGTCACAGTGATATTGTTCATTGGTTGTATGTTTGTTGCATAAATAAGAATTTGGTGTGCGCAGCAGAGGACTGGTACAACCAGTACCTCTTAATGTGGGAGCCAGCCCTGCCAGGGCAGCAGTGCACTGCCGAGCTGGTGGCAGTGTGGCAGCCTGCTGGTGAGCAGCAGAGTTCATGGTCACTTGATGGACGTGAACCATCCTTGTCACCTTTCGTTCTTCAAGCAGGATGCTTCAGAATGGAGTGCTCTGCCCAAGCATGCTCAGTATGTATTTAACTTTATCACTAGAATGTTTCCTCTCAACCTAATTGCTGGAACAAGTAGTCTTGTATTGTAACTCACATGGGATCTTATGACAACAGTGCAGAAAACTATTTATTCCTTACCTTCCGAAAAGCACCAAGATTTTTCTGCATTGAATTTAAATGGGGGGAGGGGGGAATAGTCACAAATGCTATGGATCTCGCCACCTTTTAATTTAAAGAAAAATATATATTTTGGATGAGTAGGAAAAGCTGCACCAAATTATTTGCATGGTTTTCTTGAATAGCATCCTCAAGACCCATCTGGATTAAGGTGTGGAAATGTTTCAAGGGTTTGTTTTTCCATTTTTGAAAAAGAGTTAGTATATTGTGAATAATGGTTCTTTGTATTTATGAAGTTGATAATGGAAAGAGAACAAAGATAAGTAAATGTGTCCCTAAATGTTGTCTTTTCCTTTTTTTTCATTCTTTTTTTCCTTTTTTTCTTTTATATAAGCAGCAAGCTAATTAAGTGAGAAATGGGATGAAACAGTGCCCTTCCCAGGAATAGTGGAACTTTTTTTTCCTGGCATTATTTTCCCTTTGACTGTGATTTTGTCTAGTTGGAGGAAATGTATCCTGATAAGAGAGAAAATAGTGGTGCCAAGGATGATGATCTATGCTAGGCTAAAATTCTCTCTACCTCTTCAGGGTGACTAATTTTGACTGAGCTGCTGCATATAGCACCCAGTAGAAGAACTATCTAGAGAAAATCTTTATTTTTTTTTCCAAATTATCACTTAATGTGTATTCAGAACTCTATTCTTCAACACTGCAGCCAAATATCATAAGAAACTACTTACATACTTTAACCTGCTAGGAACCCTGAAAAACAAAACTGAGTAAAAAATTAAGTCAGATGCTTGTAGTTAACATGAAAGGTTGTTTCTACTTTAGTTTGAAGTGAATGCAATAGAAAGAGCTAAGATGTGGTTATTAAAGAAGCAATGCCATTGCAGAGATTTATTTGGAGGAAAAGTTGTAGAAATATATGTAAAGACTTAAATCCAACACTGTCATAACTCGTTGCTAGCCCTTTTTAGCAGCTACATGAAGAAAATAGTATCTCCTCCTTCTTTCCTTTGTTACGTGTAACATCCTTGTTGTTTTCTACTGTTTAATTACATTGTGTATTTATAGTTCTATGCTTACCATTGTGCATATACTGGCAATAAAATGTACATAACATTACTTAAAAGATTAGCAATGTATACATTCTGGTTTTTCTGTTTTATTTGATCACATGCTATAAGAAAAATTATAAATGTGATTCATACAGCATTGGTTAAAAAAATTTATCTTGATGTTTTGTGCATCCAAATGATGTTTCTTTATATAGTTTTGTTACTAAATCTGACTTGGCATTTGAGAACATGCTGTGAATATAGAGATATTAGACAAATTTTTTAAAAAATCGAATAGAATCTTTATGAACACAGTTTCCTTCATGTAGGCAGGTTTTTTTGCTTATTATTTCATTTATTTGTACATTATACATCATTTACATTTTATTTTTTTAATATTTAAAAATATTTCTCAGACTGCAGTCTTTTAGTTTTTGCATTTTATGATACAAAAAGTCACGTCAAAAAATTGCACGAATTCTAAGCTTAACAGCCCTGTATGTTGTTCCTGCATTTTGTATAGGTAATATTTATTTTAAGAGAACCATTGCAAGATGACTGTTACTCGTCATCTTTTTGAAGATGCTATTTCATACTGAAAATATAAGTTATTGAAACATACAGTATATATTCTGGATGAAACCTAGTTTTTTTACATGTAAACAAAAGATATGTTTTTTATCCCCTATATGACTGAAAAAATTTGCTCCAGGTAGGGGGGAGGAAGATATTTACCTGAAGTTTGTTCATCAGTTTTGCTTTGAAGCCGTCTTTAAATGTTTTAAGTGAAGATATCCCATGTATTAAAAATCTCAATGCAATATATTTAAATGAATATTTTACTTATGATATGACTAGTTTTGTTTCCAGCAGGCATGGGGTTGCTATCTTTGTAAACAGATAGAATCTATTTATATTACGTGAACCCATCAGAATGTAAGAATTCGGAAAGAAAATTATTTCCACAGCAGCCAGTTGATCAGATTCACTGCATTGCTTTTTGCCTTCATTTCCTATATTATAAGTAGATATTAGCTCAGTTAAATTCAAGCAATGATTAGTCATGCCTTATGTTCCTGCTGGAGGTGGTTTCTCTAATGGATTAGCATAAAGATCTAGGAAAAAATAGGACAGTTATAAGTTGCTGTTCTTTCAGACAGGGTTTCTATATGTTCCTTCTAATATCCTGTGAAGATAGGTCATTGCAGTCATTTGAATATTGAAATGTAATTCTTAAAGGTTGGGTTTGGGCTTTAAAAAAGAGGAAGGAGAAGAAAAGCTACATGCACAATCAGGATGGGAAATGAATATTGTGGATGTCTCAGACTTGGATGTCATTTGCTTTAAAGAATTTTGAGTAACACATTATGTTCAGACGAAGTCTTAGCAAGGAAGTTGGGATAATAAATGTAAATTGAAAGGAGAGCTGATCATGTAAATTTTCCTGAGTTGGCTTGCTTGTTTGTTTTTGAAGATAAAGGTTGGAACAGATTGAGTCGTGTTTATTATTTGCGGTCTGAGTCACAGAGCATAAAGAACAAACATCTGGATCCTGAAACACTTACATATTCTTAATGGTTTCTGTCCGTGTTTAAACATTTAAGTCACAAACATACCCATGAAAAAATTCTGTTGAGAATGCAGGCCTAAAGTGCTCACAAGTTTGAATTTTCAGCAAAGGAATTCAAATGCTGAATGTGGCATTGTCCCTTTGGAAACAGTCATAAAAGAGAAAATAATTTTGAGAAATAAATCTGTTGAATTACACTACAGTTACTCCCTATGGGAGGTGAGTGAGAATGGTTCCACTGGCTGTGCTAACTTGCACTGTGTTAGGCTGGGACTTCACAATCACAGAGAAACAATAAACATCAATGTGGTGGGGATGCATAAGCAGTTTGGAACTGGAGGATTATTTGATGAACAATATCTGTTGTTTTCTCACAATTAAAACAGTAAACTGATGAGTTTTGCAATTGCAGTCTACTTCCAGGTAAGAAACAAGTCAATACTTATATTGAGCTCACTTAAGAAAGCATCTTTAAATTCTCCCCCACATGAGTTTTCCAAATCATTAAATGTACGTACTTTAAAGATTTGCTTCATAATTTATATGTTTTCTTCTTTTTTGTTAAAACACAGACAATTTTCAGAAATGTGGGAAGTTTGAAGAACTAATTGTGCTGGTCTGGCAAAAAAAATCAAACTTTGCTTACTCTTTTCCTATATTTTGTTTATGTTTCCATGTTTTAGTGTACTTTAAGAGCTCAGAGTTTCCAAGCTGTGCAGCTTGGATTATCCCAGTTAAAGAAGTTTCTTCATTTGCTGATGGCATTTTAGGATAGTAAGTGTATTTACTAAGAAATTTGCCAGCAGTTTTTGAATACTGTGTGGTTTCTGTTGAATATAAAAATTCTGTCACTTTTGATGTATTTTAGATAGATATAAGTGATCCTAGTGGAAATACTTTGAAGGGAGTAAGATGGGAAAAAACCATGGATGGTGAAACATGGAAAATACTTCTTCAGTGGAAAAAGGAACATACATGCACGTAAATGTTTCATAACCACTTTTATTGATATCAGATAGGAGGTGGAAAGGTAACTGAACTTGATCTTGGGCATCACAGTTTTACACATTTTCTTTTTCAGTATCCTTTCTTACCTAGATCTTGATATTGTCCACCAATGCTGATCTTTGGACCTGTGTAAACTCGCATTGCAGCCAGTACCAGAGATGGTTCTGATAACCTTATATCAGGATAAATTCAGAAGCGGGTCCAAGGAACACCTGTAGCAGTTAAAAACAAATGTGTAGATTTAATTTATGCAGTAGACAGATAGTCTCAAAAGTCAGATGGACTGGTTTAGGTATTCCCTCACCACCTCTTCATCTCTGCCTGTGGCAGAGCCAACAGAATACCTTTGGGGGAGCTTCCCTAATATGTTCCCCAATCTGATTTGTCTGGAATAATCTCAGACTGGTCCTCCAGCAACACCAAGGGCTCACAAACCTGTGCCAGACAATGAAGGAATGTCTGTCCTGGGCTGAGAGGGTCTGCCTGTATAGGGGCAGTGGAGGGCGAGGAAATATAACACCCACCTGCTTCTTAGCACAGTGTGTTTAACCTGAGCACATACAGCTCATGGCAAAATACCAGGGAAGATGAGGAAACTCTTGATTTCAGCTTGGATAAACAGCTCAAGTGCAAGCCTGTAGGGAAATGGATGTGTGTTCCATTTGAAATTGCAGATCAGCATGTTTTAAAACCCTTAATTAATTTATATGCTAGTCTGAAATAATACATGTGAAACGTACCTAACGGTATGTAAACACCAAAAGCCTCTAAGCTGGAAAAATAGTGATTTCTGGACTGTTACTTTGTGTCCTTTCAGCACAACTTAAACTGCTGCATATACATTTTTGCATTATAGTAAATGTCTTTTACAGATGATTGTATCTTTCCTAAAGAATTTCTGAGCTGTTTGATGCTGGTTTTGATCTTAGACATGACAGCTATTGCCATGCTAGCCAACTAATCAATTGAAGTACTTTTCCAAGACAAAATTACCTGCTTTCCCTAAGGAATTTTCATGCATCACCATTTATTATAGTCTGTACCTGCCCTAGAGAAGAAATCTAAATTGGATGTTACCTGATTGTTCAGAAAGTGCCAGCTTAAATTTTTTAAAACCTTACTTGAAGAGCTAATACTGTTGGAGGCTGCCTTTTCTCAGAAATCTATTAATTGGCCAGTGTTTGCACCATGTAGGAAGAGGTTTTTGCGTAGGAAGTGGAAAAGGCAGGGTTGCTAGAAAATAAGAGGAGAAAGACATGGTGTATGTACTTAATTTAACTCCTTGTATGTTGCAGCTAATGTTCTGAAAAACCTTAATGCCCCTTTGTGATTTGTAAAGTTTTTAGGAAGGGAATTTTCTTGGAATACACAATGTCTTTCTTTCTGCTTTGGGAATTGAGAGAAAAATACTGATATTGGAGGACTTTATTTACAAATCCAAGCCAGCCCAATGCTAGAAAATGTTAGACCTGGCAGGATACCAAAGCTGCCTCAGAGCCTCAAGTAAAAGGGAGTCATTCCATTAGGAGTGAGAAATAACCAAGCTCTCTTTTCTGTGTCAGGCAGCCTACATTGCCACAGCAGTCTGGAAGTCCAAATACTGATTTTTAGGCTACCAAGCACAGAATAGCAGAGTAACATCAATTTGAACTTGTCCACCTTTACAGACTTCTGAGTAATATTAAAATAAAATGGACTCCACCCTTTGTCACCATCATAAAAATCTGCTAGCTTAGGTTTAGATTCAGGTATGATGTAATGGGTTAAATCAAAATACTCTCTGGTTAGTGATGCTGTCGAAATCTCAGTGCCTGCAAATCATCTCCATGTTACAGATTTCTTTGTAGGCCATGGTCTTCCTAAAAGGCAGCAGATAGAAGAAAGCAAAAGTAATACTTGTCATGCTTCATCTTGTAAGGTGTGATGTCAGTAATGCATTTATTCCTCAGCTCATACCTCAGCACCTTGCTGCATCCTGAGATTGAGAAGTAGGTCATGTGAGGAATGTGACTTTGGAGGAATGAACTACAGACCAGGAATTCCTGGCAATGGAGACTTTCTTAAAAGGGGACAAGACCCCGTGAGGAAAGGAGCATATCCTGCTGCATTCTTCAGAAGCAGCCAAATCTATGTTTTTTGTAACCTGACAGTTGAGCATTGGAAGCAATCCATATTTCTCCTTTACATATGAAGTTACTTCTCCAAGTGAGCACTCGTATCAAGGAGACACTGAAGCAAGTTCACAGGGTCTGCTACTTATCTGATGTATTTGATCAAAATGCTCAGAAGGAGCTGTTGAAGCATTTGGCATGCTCAGCAGGGTTATGCATCAAGCAGAGTTCTGTCAGATATCCTGTGGTGTGTTGCCTAGTCTCTATGCTGGCACTCTCCTAAGACTACTACTGGAACTTGGGAGTTCTACTAAAAATGTTCATTGTGGGTTTTCCCATTTCCCCTTTATTTTTGTTGGCAGGCCTGCTTCTCAAGAGATCTGTATCACAGAAAAAGGGCTGGTAAATGCAGCAGTCCTTCAGCATTCAACAGGCCCAAATTACAACACCTAGAATATCCAAGAATCCAGATTAAAGTTGGCAGGTGGACATGGAGAGCATGTGGGGGCTTTGCTGCTCATCCTCTGCTGCACTCCATGGACACAGTGCATTGCTGTTGTCAGGCTGTCAGCAGTGACCCTGTACTTCTGCCACCTTTGGATGACCAGACACAGCAAAAGGACAGGGCTGGGCCAGCCCTTAGTGTGTCAGGAGGTGTGTGGAGAACGGCAGGTCAGTGCAGGGATGGATCACATGCAGAAGTTATTCCTGCTTGTGGCTGTTACCCAGCATTGTTTAAGTTCACTGCAGTAGAAGGAAACAGACTCCCACTAACAAGGTGAATAGGAGAGACAGAGAAGTTGTGCTCTCAGAAACAGAGGGGCTAGAAGTGTGTGTCAGCACCTTTTCTAGAGATGTATGATGGATTCATAGCCCATCCAAGCAGGAGTATCATCTAGACATGGATAACTAACACTGTTATCCAAGGTCACCCTGCATTAGGCAGCAACTGCTGTACAACCAAAAAGAATCCAAAGACCAAATAGGATGTATCAAAATAACAATACTTTTCTCAACTCTGTTTTGGGAGTGAAGTATGTAGGGATTGCTTCTGCATCAATATAAAACTTTCTTCTGACTTTAAACTGCAAGCTAGTATTTTAAGCACAACAAAAATCACTGGACAGTAAAAACTTCCATTAAACAAAATTTTCAGAATAGATACTGAATTCACAGTGTCTTATATTGTGCCTAAGTTTTTCATGCGTTGTCTGTAGAACAATTTTTACTTGGTGAAAGCAAAGAGCAAAGATGACATTTGGTTATTTGTAACCAGTTATAATGCCAGTATTTAAGGTCATTTGTTGTAGTTCTCAGAAGAGCAATCAGGAAAATTATATGAAGAGTCTGATCACTATAAAAAAGATTAGCAATTTGAGTGATGCCCTAGGAGCCTTCATCATTTTGAATGCAGCTCATGGGAAAAAAATCCAATAAAGTTATCAGGTACATATGCTAAAGTACTTAACTTCATATCCACCCATTAGCAAAACATGAGCCTCCCCACCTTAAATTTCAGGTTGGACTTTGTATGCCATACACAAGCCTTAGAGCAAGAGATGTTTTAAATAAATAATGTCTTGTTGTTTGTGTATACAGTGCTCCTTTGCTGAGATCTGTGTACTTACTGGGCAGATCATAAAGCAAGAAAAAAAATAGTTCCTTAACACTAAACAGTACAAGGTAAAAAACTCACCTTATTTGTCCCCAAACTTGAAGGACCGTGTAACCACATACCTTTATGTCTAGAGGTTAGTCAAGGGCAGCAGGTGTGGGTGTGGGGAATATGCAGTTTCACAAAGC